AATATCTCTAAATATTTCTAAATATCTCTAAATATTTCTAAAAAATCTCTAAATTTCTCTAAATATTTCTAAATATCTCTACATATCTTTTAATATCTCTGAATATCTCTAAATATTTCTAAATATCTCTAAATATTTCATTTTAAAAAAACGAAGGGAAAGAAAAAAACGTTAATGGTATTAAGGTTCACTTAAAAAATTTATTCACATTCCCTTTATATGTGTGTTTAGTTCCGCAACAACTCAAGAAAACTTGTTAAAGAAAAAAGTTATCAATTTGCAGGCTTAAGTTCAACAAGAAGGCTTGAACCTTTTTCCTATCCTTCAAAAGCATTTTCGGAATATAACAGCTTGGGAACCCAGCGATGCCCAGGTTACTAAAACAATACTCCCGCCGTTTACCCGCACTTGAACGATTTTACCGAGAAACTAAATTTTCGCTGTAAAATAGTATTTCAAAACCAAGCTAAAACATACCCGTGGTTAAAATTTGAGGCAAATCGGTCAAGGAGTCTCGAGTTATAATCGGACAAAAAAATAGACAGACAGACACCCTAACAGAGATTACAACTTTATAAATATATAGAGAACATCAAACAAAATCAAAAAGTAAAATACCTTCAAAGTTTTCTGTGTGTTTTGTATTAATAAAAAAACTACCATTTCACCTTATTCTAAAATAAAATCACAATTTTTAAAATGATTTTTCTCAAATAAATGTATTTTAGAATATTTTAGCAATTTTATTGTTTATATTTTGGCTTTGTAGTACAAAATATGCACATATCAAATATCTAACAAACTGTTTTGTTTACCAAATTAAGTGAAAAACAGATAAATTACTTTTCACGTTGACATAATATACAGGGAAGATTTGTTAAACCTTAGGTCTAACTAAATGATACATGGTGAGGGTTGAAAAATGTTTATTGGTTAAAACTTGTTACGGAATATATAGGAGCGTTTTTACTTTCTGTGGGGGGATTTAGGGAGCTTCTCAACTGCTGGAATTGATGAGTCTTCAGAACAGGGAGCAGTCTCGAGCAGAACCGTAGAATGCTGCTTCTGTAGGGAACTGCTTTAAGCTGTAGGTGTAGATGAACCTTTAGAGCTGTCTGGAGCAGAACCGTAGAAGGCTGCTTCTGAAGGGAGCTGCTAGAAGCTGCAGGTGTAGACGAACTTTCTGGTTCGGGACTTGGTCCGAAAATGACAACTATATTCTGATTTTAGAATATCAATAAAATCCCCTTTTGATGGTACAGAGTTGGTTTAGAACTCCGGAGCTGCTCGAAGATTAGCTACAACTGATAATATCATCTTTCCAAGATTTCAACGTTAGGTTTAAGGCGTAACCTTAACCTTGAGTCTATACTTAAAAATACACAGTGCTCACAGGATGTTCACAAAAAATACAAACATATAAATACATTTTAACTATTCATAAAAGCACAAATATCAATTCTTTAAGAATCTGTTACATTCGTTTGTGAATTTTACAAAAAGGAGTTTTAGTTTATGTAAACACCCAGCAGAGTTCCCATATACAGAAATAATTGATTCCAACCATGATCTGACATTCTTTGTTAAAAATATGCACTTTGAACTCCGTTACAGATTATAATAAGATTATACCAAGGTCAGAACTATAGAGTTCAATCTTCAGATCGACATATTGAGATAGGGTTGTTAATCGTTTTAAAAACAATCGAAAAAACGGAAGATTTCCTTTAGTTTTTTTTCTAACAATGATTGTGTCATTTTTAAAATAAACAGTTTTTGAATTTATAAACATGGATATCTAGTTCATACTTGATCAGTCAAAGCTTTAAACTCTATCCCGATTGGGCTATTTTTGTCTAATATTGATGGGGAGGGGAGGGGGGTATTTTCCACCCCCCATGACTTTGCCCTTAGAGTTGAAAAAATGTTCAAAATAATTATTTTTACTTTTGACAAATATTAACATATGACACATGTTATTATATCAATTTTTCATGTCCTTTTCAAATATTATCTATATTTCTTATCCCTGTAGCTTAATTATCAAAAAAGTTATTCATCATTTCTGTTTTTTTAAACATCGACCCACCGTTTGATCATTCTCCACCCTACTCTAAGCATAAAAAAAATGTTTTGCAAAATTTGTTCACAACCATGATGTGGAAAAAGAAAACAACTTTTAGCGTTCTAATGTTAGCCACTTATAAGTTTTTCAGAATACACCGCGGGGGGGGGGTATGGAACCCCCCCCCTTCCCCAACCGTGATAGAGTTAAGGGTACAGTTGTAAATCGGACATTGTATTCTTTGCATATAGGGTCACTTGAAATTACGCCACAGTCCTTGAAAGATTAGCTTTGCATTGTTCCTGATTCTTTAAATTGAGACATTAAGTTGAAAGTGAAACAAAAAATTATTATACTGTAACAAATCTAGATGCTAATACTCTAACGATTACTTTGCTCAAAGTCTAATGAGATCGTATTTAACTAAATCTCTAGCCAAATCTTAAGGCTCTCTATCTCTAGCCAACACTCAAGGCTCTGTATACGTCCGTTCTAATCAACAAATGATATTCAACTGCTTTATTTATAAACAGGTAAAATGAAAACTGACCGGGCTAGCCCGGCTGGGTCAATATACAAATAATTAAGATAGTAATATTTTTAGTACAGATATCAAATTAGAATTGCACATCATTGTAGAATACACTTCAATACAATTCCTTTAAAAATGTGAGTGATCTTTTGGAAAGCTTTGTACACTCATCTAAATGTTCATTTTTATTTTTGCACAATTGGTAATTTCTACGCAATTTCAAAGGTTCAGAACTTCAATAAAAACAGTTGGCAAAAGGTGTTCTTTACATGATAACATGATAACATGGTATATATTTACGAATACGAAACCGTTCGAAAAACTCAATAGCTAGCATCCCATATGTAGCGTCCTCCAAAAACAAATTTTATAAGTAGATTTTAATTCTAAATTTAAATGGTCTACATATCGGAGGGTTGAGGACATCATAGAACAATTTTAAGTTGATTTTTCAAATTGTTTTGGCTAAAATATAACGATTTTCATCCGTATTAAATATGAAGCTAATAGATAATCCAATATGATATGATCTCGCCTCAAATTCTAATTTTTAAACCCCCATATTTCTGCTGCAGTACAGTACACAACTGTGTACATAATAAGATTAATAAGGAGCACCAATCAAAAAATTAGTAATTGTGGCTATTTTTCCATTCCTTTGTCTTTGATACTTACTACTTCTGTATACAATAATAGTTCAATGATTATTTTTAGATTTATAACAGTTGTCGAGGTTTTTTACACACATTGTGTAGCCTCATTTCAAGCTCAGTATTTGCAAAAGAATTTCTATGAGAAAATTTACTGGTAGTAGATACACTGTAAAAAACTAGACGGAAGGATACGGTCAAATTCATGTAACATAACTAGTCCGACTTTATAACCTCATTGATCCTCTAGTTTAGCTTTTACACACATAAGAATGAGAAAAAGGAATTTATCCGGTTACATAATAGAAATTCAAAACATTGTGGTTCTTCTCAATACCTCTTTAATAAGAGAAATTATATAAGACTTTTTTTAATCTTACATTCAATTACTTAGTTTGACGTGAAGAATAAGTAATGTTTAATTATAAAATGGAACATTAGTCTGTTATTTCTAGAAATACAAATTTGTATCCTCAGAAACCTGATTTCTTTTAAATTTTCCTTGGAACTCGGTACAACAACAAGAATGTTCATCTGAGCTTGGTTTAAAAATCTTAGTTTAGTGGGTTGAATTTTTGAGAGAAACTTAAGTTTTTTAGATAAAACTTGGTCGCGTCAAACTAAAGTAAATTGCTTGAAATCTATAAATCACGTGCAACCGTAGTACATTTGAATTTCCGAGTCGGGTCAACCTTTGCGTTCACAGTGTGTACTGTATCACCCGTACATTGGGTAAATAAGGCAGACACTCATGAATAGGACCAGCTGGTGCAACAAGGTTGACGCGGTCAGACTTTAAATTGAATTTACTTTTACTAAAGGGACAGAGGTGCGTGAAATATGTTTTCAATCATAACTCCTCTTATTAAAAAGGTATGATAAGAAGAAAAGAACAAACAAATTAAGTTCTAATATATTACCCAATTTATTTTCTATTTCCATCTTCGGGCGTAAAATGAAATTAGAGGAGTAGAATATCACAAAGTCGTATGTCGGTAATGGAAAATAAATTTTCCCTTTTATATTTTCAGTGTAATTCAAAATCTAGCAATACACAAACATTATAAACCTTACGTACGTTAATTCCCCTATCGCAGAATGTAAAAAATTCCATAAAAAAGAAAAATTTACATTTAATGGGAAGAACTTTATGTTTAAAATTAGAACTATTTGACTAAACAAACCAGGAACCGAATTTCATGAAATTAAGCTTTGTCGCTGAACACTACCTTAAGCATAACGGTTCCAATTTAAACCTATTCATGTATGTAAGAAAAGTCAGAAAATTTCAACAGCCTCAGACCAATGCTTTTTGAGTTATGTAAAAAAAACTACAGGGGGGGTCAAATTGACCCCCCCCCCAGCGGGAATAGGGTTAACAAAAGCAAAATGATTTTTTAGTTAATATCTTTTATTAGTCTATTGTGCAACAAAATAAGAAAAACTAAAAAAATTAGGAATTTTAAGATTTCTTTATGGTGACTTTTTCAAATGTTTTTTTTTTTAATTTTATAACATTGGCGGTTTTTCGGGGGTTATCAAGAAAGAGAAAAAAAAACATATTTTGTGTAATTGAAAAATTAAAAATATTTGTTTTTTTAAAGACATCTTAGAAACAAACAAATATATATTATTACAGTCAACATAGAAATTTGATATTCCTCATAGAAAAACATATTCCACTGCACTGAATATGTGTTTTTTTCTTTTAACCCTATAAAGGCTGGGGGGGGGGTCAAGTATGAATTAGTTAGGCTTATCTTAGAAGCAGGATCTAACCTATGTTAATACATAGATATATATATATATATAGATAGATGTAAATATATAGATATACAATATAAATGAACTAAGTTATTTCGAACAAAAAAGTTGAATTTGTGTGGCTAAATTAATTACACTCATAGAAAAGAAGGTAAACTTTTGATAATATTTGTAAAAGTATGTCGTTTTTCAATGTGAAATAGTAACCAGTAAAAATCTTAATATCATAAAAGTTACTCCATCTTAATTTAATTTTAATACATTTCAAACGGGTTGAAATTATAAGTACATTTTTAACTGAGTAATTGTCTAATACCTATCTTTGCGCGCAACCCGATGGTACAAACTTTGATATTACATAAAATTAGGCTATTCGATCAAACATAATACATGGGCTGAAAAATCAGAGGTGTAAGACATCGGGTTGCAAAGATATAGGTTTAGAAAATAAAATTTTGTGGCAGGAACTCAGTTTCTTTTCATTATAAAAAGGGAATTATTTCGGATTCAAATTCAAGAAATTGGAATAAAAAGTGCTAATCTATTATTTATTTTTAATATAAAATTGTTTACAAGAATTTTCTATTTACAGTGATTAACGTAATAAAGTAAAAAACAAAAGATAACTAAAATTTAAGTAGTTTTGAAGTTGATATAAACAGCTGAAAAAAAAAACAATTTCTTAGTCTTAAAAAGGATGTGCACTATGCATCTAACAATAATTTAAAAATGATAATCACGATATATTTTTCTTTTCTTATTTATTAAATTTTCAAAATAATATATTTATTGCAAGTGACATGCCCGATTCGAAAAGGTACCTTTGAAAGCTTTTTCAAGTATAAATTAGATTTCATGTTTCTTGTTTCTTTTAAAAACTGATTCTTTTCTTGCTCAAACGTTATGGTGAAAGAATCGAAAGTGAATGCACTTGTTGAGTCAGACTGAGAAACCCTACATTATCTTCCATATTACTAATCAGATGAAGGTTGTTAGGGTTTCCAGGGGATCAGGATCTAGGGTACCGTTAAGTGAATCTTCTTCAAAATCACCTGAAATTACGTTGCGTTACGTTAAACAAATGCAAAATGGTTTAACAAGATTTGTTTTAGGTTTGAATATTTGAGATGAGTTCCCCTGTTCTCTTCTACTTCTCCTTAAAAATAGCATTTAAGTCTAAAGGTGAGTACGTCAATAAGGGGTTATGCACAAAGATGGGCACGTTCGATTTTTCATTTTGTTCGTTCATTGTCCGTGAACGACCCATTTCGTTCTTTTTTTCAATCCTTTAAAAAAATTGATGTCGTTTGTTTATAAAATTATCGTCCATTTTCCATCTATTTTGTTATTTTTTGTCACTCAAAGATCGTTCAGTAAATTCGTTCGTTCAGTAGAATCGATCGTTCAATAAAATCGTTTGTTCAATAAAATCGTTCGTTCAGTAAAAAAAAACGGATGTTTTTTTTTAAAAATTTGGTCGAAAAATCGTTCATTCAGTAAACAACTATCGTTTGAAAAAAGTTTGTCCGTTCAGTAAAAAAACCGATTGTTTGGAAAATTCGTTCGTTGAAAAAACTATGCCCATCTCTAGTTATGCATAACGATTCCCATCTCTAGCTATTCATATCATTTTAAAGAAAACCATTGAACTATATCTGACGTTGAAAACAATTATCATTGTCTTTATATAGTGTCAAGTGTGCACTATTTTGCACCTTTTTCGTCAATTAATTATTACTTCATTTATTTATTTAAATATTGAATTTCAACCAGCAATGGGTTAAAAAATTACACATTTAAAATAGACTCTGTATATTAATTTGAAGTGTTGTTCATTTAATGAGTGGCGTGTACGCTTATAACTCTTTTAACCCTATCTGGCCTGATGGAGGGGGGGGGTCGTCAATTTGACAACCCCCCTTCAGGCTTTTTTTGCGATAATTCAAAAAGTATTTGAGCTAGGAAGCTCAAATTTTCTGGCTTTTCTAACTAACAGCTATTCCCCTCACATAAGGCTTAAAAGCTAGAATTTTATACCTACTGCCTGAGTCCTCACTCTTAGGCATACTGCCTAAACACCTTAATTTACCTTTACCAGACTAAATCTATTAAAACCTAAATGTGTATTCAAGAAAAACTGAAAATGTGCAAATTCCCTTTTAAGGCGTCTGCGCAAAATTTCTTTGCAAAAATTGTGCAATCCGCTTGCATAGGTTTTCTAAAGAGCTCTAAAATGTTGAAATCCAATGTTACGAAGTAGGTCTAAAAAAACAAATCCGCAAGTACTTGTAAAAACAAATCACATTTAAAATAATCAATTTTTCGACGGAAAACATATATATCTCATTAAAGGGTTCCGGTGTGGATCGTCCGCGACGAGCAACCCTTTAAATGGAAAGCCACTTGAATTATGTCTATTATCCCTTTAAGATCTTAAAATTCATATTTGGCATATTTTTGCAACATATTATTACTTAGAGTGCTAAAATATGTGCACACCCGCTATGCTTAGATATTTGCATACCCACCGGCCTTTGCCATTTAATGGCATGAAAAATACGGCTTAAACTGCTTTATTTTACGTTTATGGGCTTGTTAAAGGATTCTATTTGGTCAACTCAATAGTATAGTAGATATGGGTCAGCTCAATAGTATAGTAGATATGGGTCAACTCAACTCAAGGGACTGTAAGCGTAACTTCAAGTGACCCACCATGCAGAGATGGCAATGTCCAATTTTCAACGGTACCCTTAAAGATCAAGTATGAATTAGATATCAAATCAATGATTTTGTTTCTTTTAAACTGTTTATTTTCATTTGTGATATCTCTGCGAAAGGGACATTTCTTGCTTTTAAGAAGAAATTGCGAAATTCACAGAAATAAACAATTCCCGCGTCAGAAAAACGACGACATCTTTCACATTTTTAATCGGAGTAAGGTATCAAAGGTACCATTGTAAATCGGGGATTGCTATATCTTTGCATGGAGGCCGGGGAATGTCACTTAAAATTACGCTTACAGTGGCTTTAAAGAGATTACCTAGAGATAGCACTTTGTTTGACATGTTAGCGTAATTCCACATCTTTATCCACACAGATCCAGACTTTACTCTTTATCCACAGTGTAACCACATAGATCCAGACTTTACTCTTTATCCACAGTGTAACCACATAGATCCAGACTTTACTCTTTATCCACAGTGTAACCACATAGATCCAGATTTTACTCTTTATACACAGTTTAACCACATAGATCCAGACTTTACTCTTTATACACAGTGTAACCACATAGATCAAGATTTTACTCTTTATACACAGTTTAAACACATAGATCCAGACTTTACTCTTTTTCCACAGTGTAACCACATAGATCCAGACTGTGAAAAGTTGCATAAATGATTAAAACTGGATCGACTTTGAAGTGTCGCAACGCCTTGGCTTTTTTAATTTTACATCACTAATGTAATGCAGAGAATTAGGCAACTATAAAATGTATGCAGCAAATGTTACACTTGGGTCGAATTTAATGTTTTGCAGTATTACAGCATTTGGTTTTACTTCACCAACTTAGGTTTACTTTTTTGTAGCCTTGGAAATGTACATTTTGAAACTGCAACAAGTTGATTGAATCTTATCTTCCGTTTAAAAGCTAGGAGTAATTGACTAAATCAAATTTTGAAAAAAAAAATTTTGAATAGTTTGTTTCAAAGTTCCAAAGAAACCTTTAAAAAATCATTAAATATGTGTGATATCATCTTATGTGATAAAGTTTTTTTTTATAAAATTGAATACGTTATTGACTAATTAGAGCCATTTTTTGACAATTATACTTATCAATAACAGGTTTGAAATTTTTGTTGCAAAGTTTTGGACCTGCTATTATTATAATACTAATTTGAATGTCATTACTTTTCATTTTTTGGGTTCCTTTTAAATTATACGATGTACTTTTGACGACTATTTTTGTTGGCCGCTAGGTGTCAAGTAAAATCCCTGAATTACTAAGAGTGAGAGCATTTTAAAAGTATGATAAAATTATTTTGATAAACGAGATTATAGTTATAGAGTAAAATTAATAATTATTAACAAATATTATATATATCAAAAACAAAAAATAGCTATAAATCAATAATTATATATGTTTAATAATAATAAGAGATTCAGAGTACTTACTTTTCCTCTTCTAGACTTTTATTTGTTAAATTATCATATAAATGTTTACATCTTTTTCACAGCATTTTGTGACCTTTTACAATTTCAACAATTTAAATGAGCAAACTGTAATTTATATAATTCCCCGTGAACAGATTTATTAAAGAACATGAACACACCATCTGCAATGGTGACAGATAATGCTAAATTCTGATATAATTAGCAAAGAGATGGTGAAGGTTTTAGCACTGTTACTTCGGAGTCATAAATTAATAAAAATTAGGTGAAAAAGGATTCATGGGTTCGGTCAGCTTTCTGCAAGTTTAAGGTATTCAAAGAATTTATTAATTTTGTTCACATTCGTTCATTTTTAGTTTAACCACTGCAGTTGCTCTCAGGACCTTCAGGGGGAATCATCGTATATAAATAGTGGTGAAGTCGTAACCTATGCAACTTTAATCTTAGACATTTAATAATTCTTAATTATCTCTTTTTAAAATTCCAATAGAACCCCGGAGCTAAACTTAATCCGTTTATATCAAGTTTGGTGGTGTATTAAGCTAAGCGCTATCCCAGATATAAGTTTTGAACTCAAATTGAAAAAATATTAGTGAAGTACCATAGTTCGAATAAGCGATATAAACAACGAGTTGAACTTTTTAAAAAGTTTTAAATATTTAAAAATTTATTTGAATTTAGTTTTGCAAATCAGCTAACTTGGTGTTGTACAATATATGTATTTTAACCCTATCCCCGCTGGGGTACTTGAAAACCAGGATACGCTGGGGGGGTGGTCAATTTGACCCCCCCTCTAAATCCCATGTTTTATGTCCAAATATGACAAATGATACATCATTAGAAAGCTCTTGTGCTCTACTTTTAGAATCTGCAAAAAAATTTCCTAGAAAAATGCATTAGAGAAAAACTGGAGGGGGAGAGGCGCCAACCCCCAGTCTGTTTCGTGTTAAATCTCGTATGTAAATTATCTAAATCAAACTTTTCAATAAACACGCATATACGTATACCTTTTACACAAGACAAATGACAGTAAAAATGCGTTAAAAATCTTGAATTATAAACAAATTAAAGGGAGTGACCGCGGCAATGTATGGTGTTTGAACTAAATATCAGTATTATGGACAAATTTTTTAGGATTCATTTGAGACATATAAAACGTTTCAACGATGTTTAATTACTGAGTTTGAGTACATAGTCAAAATTCAAAATCGCAAATTTGGGTGGATACGTTTTCAGAATCGGTAAATTCAAATCTTAAAATAACGACGACGAAAAATAAATAAACTAGTTATATGTAAAGGAAAACATTTCTAAAAAGAAATCGTCAATAAATCGATGCTAGAATCAATTGTTTCGTTTTCATCATTAAATTGAATTTCTTATTTTCTATGAATTTCTTCGCAGATTTCTACAAATTTTTCAAATGTCGTCTTTTCAAAAAAAATGCCAGAGAATCTGCAGAAACTCTTTGTAAATCTTAGAGAATATAGAAACTAAAAATTACATAAGATTACTTATTTTCGATGATAAGAGTTGATTTTTATTTTCTCAACCTGTTCCTAAACAACTAATCAGTTTACTGTAGAATTTTGTTAACATTTTTGTCGTCGTTATTTAATAATTAAAAAAATCGATTCTGAAAACATATACCCACTTAAATTCGTTATTTTGAACTCTACTTTATGCTCAAACTCAGTAGTCACGTCGTAGAAACGTTTTATATGTCTCAAATGAATTCCTAAAAATGTGTCCACAATTACTACATATTCAGTTCAACCACAATACATTACATTTAATTGAATATTCAAATATATTTTTATGTATATATATATATAAGTTTTTGGAAACAAAATTTATATTACAACTTACATTTCATTTTTTATGTTTACATTCTGATAGAAATATTATAAGGATAAATGTTGTTTACTTTAAGTAGAAAGTGAAAAAAGAGTATTTTATTGTATCTATTTCTACGCAAGGGGGGAGGAGGGGTGGGGGGGGGAGCATGCCCCTGTGAAATTAAAGCGTCAACCCTATATAGTGAAAGCTTGAAACAGTAACTGTCCTAAATTCCTAATTTTATGATCTAAAAAAAGTAAAAAAGTTTCTAAACTATCCTGGGAACATTTTAGACTTTGCTTAAAAAATAAACAAAGCAATTGTTAAAAAGAGTATGAATGAATTACATTTTTTGAAACTTAGAAATTAGAAACACTTTTTAACGCCGACGATTTTTGTCTTGATTTATTCTATATTCTCGATTCGCTCATATATATCAGCTGTAGCTGGAAAACGGCTGGACCGAATGGGCTGACGTTTTATAAAGAAACCGATGCCACTACCCGAGGGGTAACATAGGCTAAAAAATTCCTTGTTTTCTTTCAAAAAACGACTTTTTAAATTTTTTTTTAAAATTCCACGGGCAACGTCGGGCACATCGGCAGCTAGTCATCAATAATTTTACAAATTAGTTTATTTTAGAGGTAACATAAAGCTGAGCTGAGGTAGATAGATAGAGACACCTCAGACAGAAGATTCAAGGCTGAATACTGTTTTAGAGTTTAGAGGTCAGACAGAAACAGATTTTACAAATTGTTTTTATTTAATCCTGAAATCTGGTGTCTAAATATAGGGTGAGTAAAACAACCGGAATTATCAATGTTTCCGACAAAATTTGTATTACAAATTTTTATCACATTTAAAGTTGTTATGCCTAAAATCTGAACAAAACAAAAATTTTAAAATGTTTTCTAAAACATCGATAATCCAGTTTTTTTGCCTCGCCCTGTATATATATATATATATATACAGAATAATTTCAACAGAGACAAAGTAAAATAAAGTAAAATTCAATTTATTTTATATTTCGAAAATTCCATCCTTGCTTGCTTATTTCTGCTAGTTTGGAATAGCAGTGGAGAAAAGATATAAATCTAAATAAATATTTAAGTATTTAAAGGGACTGTTACCGAAATTTTAAGTGACTCGACACTCCTTGTAAAGATGACAATGTCCAATTCACAACGGTACCCATAAAGCTTTGTCTGATCAAGTACGATAATTAGATATGCATTTTATAATTCCAAAAACTAAATATTTTCAATTTCGGCTGCTCTATAAAAGTGACTCAAGTTCGTTTCTTCAGAATTAAACACGTTTAAACCTGAAAATGACATTATGTTTCACTTTATTTATAAGACAGACTTTGCTTTTAAGGGAACCGTTGTTAAATGGACATTGTCATCTTTGAATAAATGGCCGGTCATTAAAAATTTTGCGCGTACAGCCCCTTTAACAAATAAATAAAGTCAGAATGTAGAGAAATGTGAAAGGGGGAGCTGGATCCTTTTTAACATGCGAATATCTTTTAAATCAATGTGTCTAAGCATGTGCTTCACATAAGCGCATGCGTCTTAAATTAAAGGTTTCCGAGTCCGAATTTAAGGAATTTGAGCCGCGTATTAAATCGGCCAAAAACCGGTATTAAATTGAGAGCCAGCTTAAACCTTGAAACATTGAATACAATTTTAAGTGGGATCAACCATATTTAAGCCGTGCCTTAAATTTAAGCCGCGACTCAAATTCTTTAAATTCGGCCTCCGAAGAGTTTGTAAAAATACAGAGTTGTTATTCTACTATGTGCTTTAGACACATGTGTAGTACAATTATCAACATACCTACGTACATCATTACGGGTTAACATGGCCACTATAGTTTCAGTAGAAGTAAATATTTCCATTTACTGTTTACTCATATTTATCTGTTATCTGTTTACTCAGGATTTATCTCTAATTGGATAATGAGCTAGCTAGAAAGATAGATGTTACTGCCATGCAATTTCTATTGGTTCAGAATAGACAACAAACACATGACTGAACCCTGATTGAACCAGGCGCTAATGGACTCGGCATGCTAGAGTGCAGCTGGCTTTAAGAGTCAGTAAGTCGTCAAATTTCGTTTAAGTTCTACCAATTATAACTTATATGAGAAAAGGAAATTGATTCCAAGATATCACAGAGTACTCACTCAGACTCAGTAGTAGTACACACATTTTACAACCAAATGACGACTCTATTACATGTTATCCTCTCTAAGTTTGCCGATCACAGAAAATGCTGAAAGAGATTTAAAAGACAATAATTCACGAGTAAACTATAAATTGTTTCAAGAATTCACGCATTTGTCTCAAGGCAAAAGATACAATAGAATAGATAGTCCTCTAACTATGCAAATTCCGGAGGAAGTCTGCAATGTTAACGGTGGGGGGGGGGATGAGAGGGGGTGTCGCCATTCGTACATAAAGGTGAGAGATATTAGAAGAACAAAAAAAGAATGAAAAAAACAAATATTGAAATAAATGTTACAAATATGTTAAATGTCTGAGTGAGGAAAATTATGAACAAAAAGTGAACTCGAATTCGTACAGCGTGAACACTGCATTTTCAAATTTAGAATTTAAACTTTTCGTTTTTTTGCATTTTTAATCTTTGCTTTGGCGTAAAGCGAATATGACACCTTTTTTAAAAACTCAAATTATATTCTTAATTACAATCATTTCCGTTTTGGACTACCAAAAACAGAAAGAAAGGGTTTCACTGCAAATTTTTTTTACAATTGTAGAAGAATTTCCTAAATGCATGTAAAGTTGACAATATGAAAAAAGATGAGGTTAAACTTTTTCAAAAGAGGTGTAAGTTGAGTTTTTTTCTTTAGTTTAATTTTAAAAGGTTTTGATTTTAGAAATTTTATATTGTATTGTTGAGTGGAAAAGAAATGAAAAGGAAATACCATCGTATCTAAGGTTGGCATTACCCTAAATCGATTTCTGAAAAAGATTGATGAAAAAATTGACCTTTTTCTCATTATTTTGTATGAAATAAATTAGTTGCACAATGCGTTGTATTTGCTGGATGGTGTGTAAAAGTTTTTAGTATTGGAAATCAGTGTTGTTATAAATATCTCACCACAATATACGTCTAATGTCCCTTTAAGGTAGAAATATTTCACTACCATATACGTCTATTGTCCCTTTAAGGTATAAATATCTCATTTCAAATTACGTCTATTGTACTTTTAAGGTATAAATATCTCACTACAATATACGTCTATTGTACCTTTAAGGTATAAATATCTCACCACAATATACGTCTAATGTCCCTTTAAGTTAGAAATAGTTCACTACCATATACGTCTATTGTACCTTTAAGGTATAAATATCTCACTTCAAATTACGTCTATTTTCCCTTTAAGGTATAAATATCTCACCACAATATACGTCTATTGTCCCTTTAAGGTATAAATATCTCACTACAATATACGTCTATTGTACCTTTAAGGTATAAATATCTCACTACAAATTACGTCTGTTGTACCTTTAAGGTATAAATATCTCACTACAATATACGTCTTTTCTCCTTTAAGGTAAAAATATCTCACTTCAAATTACGTCTATTGTCCTTTAAGGTATAAATATCTCACTACAAATTACGTCTATTGTCCCTTTATGGTATATTACGTCTATTGTCCCTTTAAGGTATAAATAACTCACTACAAATTACGTCTATTGTCCCTTTAAGGTATAAATATCTCACTACAATATACGTCTATTGTCCCTTTAAGATGCAAATTTCTCACTACAAATTACGTCTATTGTCCCATTAAACAAGAAATTTTGGAGAATTAATCATATACACTTGACTTAAACATGTAAAAACGTCTTTACGACTCTTTTACTAAATGCACAAATAGTAGACTACACACTACACATAACACAGTGTACATCCTACAAACATATGAACAGATGGTTGCGTTTTATTCGTTTGTTCATCGTTTGTGAACGATCCATTTCGCTCGTTAGATTTCAATCATTTAAAAAAATGATCTAATTCGTCCTCAAAATTATCGATCATTTTCCATCTATTTCATTTGTTTTCTTACTGAACAATCGAGTTCTGTAAAATCGTTTGAATTAAGTAAAATCGTAAATGTTTGGTATAAAAATCGTTTGTCCATTAAAACCAAACAGTTTTTTTAATCTTTCGGAAAGTTGGTTTGTTCAGTAAAAACCTGTGTTCTTTTTCAAGCTAGTTTGAACGAACGATTTAGAAATCGTTCATAAACGATCAGGATTTCTCAAACAATTAAAATCGTTCATTTTTTCGTTCGTTTTGAAAAAAACGTTTGTTTATTAATTTCGTTGAATGATTCAAGTCGTATTCCATCGTTCTTTTTTTCTTAAGGACACCATCGTTCACGAAAAATTTCGTTTCTTCTCAAAAGTTTCGGTCCTTCTCAACATTTCGGTCGTTCACAAAAACGGTGCACATCTCGTAAAACATGTAGCCTTTGCAATCCTATTCATCCAAAGGTTGAAAGCCTCATACAAAAATCGATAAGAATTTTTCATACTTCATCTTTAAAACTAAAGTTAAAGTACACGGTACACTTCTTAAATGTACATGTCTAGGGCTACAAAAAAGCATAATGAGACAGTTAGGTAAAAACAACGATCGAGGCATTGCGACACTTTAAAGTCGAACAAATCTTGAAAATGTACACAACTTTTCATACCAGTCCGGATCTTTGTACGATGCATTTTCATTCTAAAATATTTGAGTTCTAAAAAATATTTAAAATAACAACTTATGCATATACTTGAAAATAATGTTCTTTTCTGTCATGTTGTGTATGCTAATTATTTTTTTCTTACTTTCAATTAGCTGAAAGAGAGGTCAATGAACTAGATTTTTCCTGTTAATTTACATAGCAATGGAATATTGAGGTTGAAAAAATGTAGTTTAAGAAAAATAATTGTTTTTCAATTTTTTCTTAATTGTCTTTGGAGACTACATTCTTAACTAAACCTGAGAGCGAAATTATAAAGATAAAGAAAAATGTTAGAAATGAAAAATTGTTTAAGAAATGGTGTTCAGATAACACAGGTGTCCCAGGGGGACGGGTGATATGTATTGACAAGCGAAGCATAATATACTTTCTTTACAAGAATTTAACAAGTTAAACATTTAGTTTTCAATTTTCTCAAAGCATGTTTTTGGGTTGACTTAAGGGACCATATTTTTTCTTCAAGTTACCCTAGATTTTAGGAAGGCCTGATCATAAAAACAACCTACATCATTATCATTGATGTGAAATAAATAAATATATAAAGGTCTTAAATCCTTACAAGTTCCTCCATTGTCCTGTTTTCCTTTTAAAGAAACTATGCAATTATGATAACTTTGTTCTTGATCAGACAAAGCTTTTAAAGATACCGAATTGTGAATCGGCATACAGCTCTCCACTCCATAAATGGAATAAAGAAATGTTGAAAATATCTTTTTTCTTTTTCAGTTTTTGGTTGAAAGGAGAGCAGAAAGCTGGCAGCTCAAAGAGCTCTGCTCAGGGCAGAATAAGAAAAAGAAGAAGAACGAATAAAAGAGAAAATGGATGATTCCAACAGACGATCCCTTGATTTATCATCTCTGGACGATATACCAGAGGTACTAGAAATATTAATCCTCTTTGGACAAAAGAACTGAACACTACTTGCCATAAATTATCTGTTCTTTTTTCTTTGGAGTCTGGTGCCGTAAATCCTTAGACAAAAGATGTTAGGTACTTTCCAAAAGAAACTTCCCAAGTCTGTTCTAACCGCAGCGCTCGCCCCCTAGCCTGTTATACCCTCAGCACTTGGGCCCTTAGCCCATCCTAGTTCTAGCGCTTGGGCCCTTAGCCCATCCTAGTTCTAGCGCTTGGGCCCTTAGCCCATCCTAGTTCTAGCGCTTGGGCCCCAATGCATCCTGCGGCGCCTCAGCAGGCCTAGCCTAATATTTGGGAACTTGCTGCTTGAGAAGTTGTATATTTTGGAAGTTGCCACTTGGGAAATTGTAATTTGGGAAGTCGCTTATGGGAATATTATGGGAAAACACCATTTTAAAATACGAATTCAGTCAGATGAAATTTATTTTCTGGACAGTGTTGTGATGGGCAATAATTTAGTGCGCTTAAAAAAAGTATTTTTAAAGGTTTTTGTTCTTTTTATAAGGCAGCCAAAAATCTTTCCAAACTGTATTTCCGTAAAAGTTGTTTTAAAACTGTACTAAATTTTTATCCTTAGAGATAAGTAAGAGACAAAATCAAATCAAAGTTTTTGTTGCAATTTATTTTCATATCAAGGTTACAATTTGGACAGAAATTATTAAGAACAAACAATTATAAAATTTGTAAAACTTCTCAGATTATTGAGAAACCTTTAAAACGACCAAAAACATACCAAAAAAAAAGAAAAAAGTTAAAAAAAGTAATTGAATGTTTAGGAACGTCCGTACAGCAAGGGAGATGACAGTAATCGGCTTGATTCAGGGCTAGGGGAGTGGGATTCAAGCAGCTCAAGGTCAATCAATCATTTAACCAGTTAATGTATCAATTAATCAATTAATCAATTAATCAATAATTTAATAATTGAATAAAAAAATATTAAAGAAATAATTAAATCAGTCAATAAAGTAATCATGTAATCAATCAATAAAACATTAAATTAATCAATAAATCATTGAATTAAGCAATAAATCAATAAGTAAACTCAATAAAAAATTAAATGATCAATAAAACAAGGACCCAATTAATCAATCAACTAATCTGAATGCTAAATTTAAGAGCAGGAAACACATTTTGATGTTTTGTTCTTGATCATCATTGGTCTATTTGATCAATTAAAAAATAGAAATGATTTTTGACTTTTCAGACTTTTACACTTTGGTCTAACTGAATTTAAAGTTAAAAATATAAAAGTTCTTCAACATTAGGTTGCAAAGAAAATCATGGTTTGCAAAAAACCTAGCTACTTTTTATGAGATCCATTAAACAAATAATTCAATTATAAATAAATCAATAAAAAAGTCTAAAATCAAATTTTTCTAATTTTCCCATTTTAGAAAAACGTCTGTATCAAGCCAGGGAAGTAGACTTAGTCCGGAAATTAATGAAAAAGCCACACACTCAGTCAGTATAAAGGTACATGACCCTCCCCACCCCACTCAAAAAAAATCATTAAAAAATGGACATTTTTGAAAATATAATCTCCCCAAAACTAGATTTTTGCCAAAGTTGTATAACAGCATTCAAACATTACTTATTTTTAACAACATCTCATCTGAAAATGCTCATTTTACCAATCAAAGTTCATTTGATGTCTAAGATTAATTGTTTAGGAAAATAAAGATGTTGGAAGGAGAAGGAGAAGTGGTATTGATATGGTGCTAAGAAAACCCTCAGTTCTGATGGCAAGTGAACACACAAATCCCTCGGTAAGAAAATAAAAAAAAATAAAAAAAATCCTATTAAAACAAATTTGGCTTCAAGAAACAAAATATATTTTTTTTTGAGAATTTTTAAATATAGAGTTTCTTGACAATCCAGCTTGGGTTAGTTGTACGTGTAACCCCTGAACCCTAATCTTCCCAAAAGCAATTAAATCTATAGCCTTGGATGTCCTATAGCACATTCCTCACTGAATTTTGACTTCCAATTTTGTCACTCTGTTAGGGCTGGGCATATTCCAACTTTTTCTAGCCGTTTCGTTAACAGTTCCAGCTTTTAAAAAAGAAAAAATTTAGGTAGCCGTTAGTTATAAAAGTAAGAAGAAAACATTTGTTTCGTTAATTCATTTTTCGTTTTTTTTTAAAGTTAGCGTTAGTCAATGCTCTCAGTTTTATTAAACATGTTAATGGAAGATATTCTGCCGTTAATGGTTGTTTTTTGCAATTAACTGTATATGCTTTTGAAATTTTCATTAATGGTTTGTCAAATTGTTAACAGTGCAAGCCTTTAACAGTTGGTTTAAGTATTATTAGTGTTAACGGTTTGCTAAAACATAAAAATTTCCATAAAAAACAGATAACAGTTTATCAAATTGGATTTACAGCACAAGCGATCACCAAATTGCAAAAAAAAATCTTTATAAGTTTCATCATATAAATAGGGGGGGGGGGGGAAGTTTCATACAATTTTAGCCAAAAAAAAGAACGAAAGTTTCCAGTTTTTTAAAAACCCATCCGTTTTGTGTTCATTTTCAACAGTTAATTTTTTTTACAAAAACGAAAACCTTAGTTTTGTTCAGGAACTTTGCCCAGCCCTACTCTCTGTTACTTGTATTTTTTGAATTTGCCTTTCTTGAATGATTTCAACATTTTTATGTTTAAGATAAACCTGTTTTACATTCTAATTTGTAGCTTAACATTTTCAGATAATAACGACCCGCCTGCCAAAGATTGGGCGGAGCATGCGATCTTCTGGTAGGTGGAGTAGGAAGATGTCACCTGCTGGACTAGAATACCTGAAAATGGACGATGAGGTAAAGAATGACATATTTTGATTATCAATATTTTCAAACGGGGACCGGATAAACTGAATTGGAGAGGAGTCAAAGAATACCCACTTCTTTAACTTTTTCTCTAGTGGATCAAATAATCAAATCAAACGGATTTAAAGCTTAAGTCAAAAGAGGTGAACCATTTATATATATAATTCAACAACTTTTCCCAATTCATTAAATTCAGTCCTAAGAATTTCAAAATTGCATCATATTTGTTTTTTGGATTGCATGGCGTCCATGACAATTAAAGTTTGTGATGTAAAACTTCCCCGACGGATAATATTGTGATACATTTTTGGAAAGCCCTTGGGCTCTAATAATAATAAAGGTAAGTTTGAAAATTTCAAATATTAATTGTAATATCAAGTTAGGAAGTAAAAAATGTTCAAAAATAAAATATGATAATTATACATTTTTGAAAAGCCCTTACCACTGCAAATTATGCAAAAAAATTGCAAACTTTTCCAAAACTAAACTTGTATTCAAGGAAAACAGAAAATGTGCAAATTCTCCTGAAAGGCATCTAAGCAAAAAAGTATGCAAACATTTTTTTAGTTCCTTTTGGTCAAGGCTTTTTGAAGAGCCATAAAAAGTCAAAATCCAATGACCGGAAGTAGGTATAAATACAGATCTAGTCGAGTAAAGGTAAAATAAGGCATTCAGGCAAGTAGAATAGGGTTAAAACATCAATTATTTCAGCGTAAAATTAAGGGGTAAATTTGTGTCCTGCAATTAGCCTGCAGACATTTTAATGTGCCCATGTAGGGATGCTATTTTTGGAACAAAAGTGTATTTAAAGTTTAACAATAGAATGTGCTCTAACCTTGCCCCCTCAGTTTTCATGATTGATTGAGCGGATTGTTCTAATTTCATCAGAGTTTTCAAAGGAAAGACAGAACTATTGTTTGCAAGATTTTTCTTGTTACTCATCCTTGCATACTTTTCAGTCTGTCTAACTAACACTTCAATTCAGAACTTTAAAAATACATCAAGAAAACATGATTTAGCATATTTTGTATTAAACAAATAAGGAGAATAATAGATACTACCCTTGAGTATTTTGCGACAAGTCTCTGACTGAAAATATTGAAGCATATCTCCCTTCTCTTTAAACCATCAATAATACACTTAATTTCCCTTTAGTATGACTCACAGAATAAGAAAACACACCTTTAAGACACCCTATTCTGAATTTGCTGCTTTATTTGGAATTATTGTAGAAAAGAATTCTTGTATAGTTGAGAAAGCTATTGTGATTACAAACTTGAATCTTGATGGAATGTTCCTTGGAGAATTTTTCGGAGCAACTACTTGTAAAGCAATGATTTCTAACACAGCTGCAAGTATAAGTCAACCAAGGGAAATTTAAAACCTTTTGCAGAACAATTTTGCATCTTATCATAGTAAAAAATCAAATCATTCTGTAGTTTTAAGACTTCCTGACACAATTGTTAAGATTCACCCCTTTAAACAAATCCAGAATTTAGGATAATGCATTTTGTGCAAATGCCTTAAATTTTCAGATTATACAAATTGTTGTTTTGATTTTTGTTTGAGTTTAGAAAAGGGGTATTTGTACTTCATTAGTGCAAGCACTTAACATATAAAATTTTTTTCTTGTCCGAAAAGATTTTATTGCACATACCTATCTAGATGGAAGAGGTTTTGAGAAACGGAAAGATGATGTTGGTTCCACGAAAGATTAGTGATCACATCCCAACAGTTCCTATTCATTCCACTGATCGGTTTATTGTACTGGAGTGGAATGAAAATTTAGGTAAAATACACTATAATATATTACCTTTTAAAGCAGAATAATAAATAAATTATTTAAACAGGCTTGGAGGATGAAGATCTTCAAATCTACAAAACACCTAAAATAGAAAAGTATGAGCTGCATAAACACAAATGGGAGTTTTTCGGTAAAAGAGACTTCAGGAAAATGATGATCCTTGCCTTGGATGGAGATGAATGGATGTCAGGTCAACAAAAGTTTGATATTATGAAAAGTTTAGTTTCTGAAAAAGATCAACGAAAGATGGAGAAAATGTTAAAGATGGGATATTCACATGATGATATTGTAAATCATTTTATGGAAGAAGCAGAAAAGAAAAGTGGAAATAGTGACCTTAGGAAAAAAATGGAAATGGCCATGAAAGACAATAAGGATATGTCTGATGATGAAATGATGGAAGTAATGCGTTTTCAGATGGGAGAAGACTCATTGAAGGAAATGGAGAAAATGCTTAAAGAAGGAGCTTCAGTAAAGGATGTCATGAAGAAAATGATGATCCAAGGAAACACAAAAGAAGAGGAGATGTTGGAAAAGGCAGAAACCTTGCAGCATTTAATGAATTCCAAGAAAAAGAACATCAAACTGTCAGAAAAAGAAGCAGGAAACATGATTGAAGAACGTTTTGATGATGATTCCAAATCAAAACTTAAGAAGCTAATGACTTCAGGGGCTTCAATAAAAGATGCAATAAATAATGTAATCAATGAATCACAGTGTAAAGAAAATCTTACTGAAATGGAAAAGAAAATTAGACTCATGACAGAGGGTAAAGAGCTTACACAATATCAAATGTATGAATTGATAAAAGACCAACTTGATGAAGAATCAAGAAAGAAAATGGAAGAGATGGTGAAAAATGGATGCCCTCTTGATGAAGCCATTGATTTCTTTATGAAGAAAGGGAAAACCATTGAACAGGTGCAAAAAGAGAGATCTGAAAAGCTGAGGGAAATGGTCAAATCTCAATCTGGATTTAACCAAGCTGATGTACTTGACTTAATGAGAAGTGAACTTAGCAAGGAAGATAGAGCACAGCTTGAGAAAATGCTGGCAAGTGGTTGCAATCCTCAAGAAGTAATTGATCATTTTCTTAATAGAGGCAAAGAAGAGATTGGCACTAAGACCATATTTCAATTAAAAATGGAAGAATTAATCGCTGGAAAAGGTCTAAATGATGAAGAGGTTCTTGCTATGATGAGGGGCCAACTTGATGAAGAAGTAAAACAAGCCATAAAAGACATGATGGCTAAGGGTTACAGCAGCCGAGATATCATCAATTACCTAATGCGCACTGTTAAAACAATAGAAGAAAAAGAACAAGAAAACATGGAAAAACTTTCATCACTTTTTGATGATCATAATATGACAGAAGATGACAAGGTTGCGATGCTTGAAAAGCAGTTGAGTAATGAAGATAAAGCTCAAATGGAAGAAATGCTTAAAAATGGATGTTCAATAGAAGAGGTCATTGGTCATTTTATGAACAGATCAATAAGCCCAGAGAGAGAAAAATCAACATTTGCCAAAACTATTGAGAGATTATGTGAAGGAAAAAATCTATCTCAAGATGAACTTCTTCTTCTTATCTCTGAAAACTTAGATACAGAGTCAATAGAAAAAATGAATGAAATGTTAAAGAAAGGATACTCAAAGCAAGATGTCATTAATCATTTTATGAAAAACGCTAAATCCAAAGATGAGCTAATGAAAGAAACTGCAGAAAAAATCAAAGCCTTGATGAATGATGAATCAATGACAGACAAAGATAAGATTGAAATGTTGAGGAATCAGTTAAGTAAAGAGGATCTTTCTCAATTGGAAATGCTTCTGAAAGATGGAGGAAGTGTAGATGATGTCATGAATCAGATCCTAAAGAGCAAAAGTACAGAAAGTGTGGCAGAAACACAGTTATCTAAGGTTGTTAGTCAACTCATTGATGGGCGGGATCTTTCAAAACAAGAAATTCTTGGAATTATCAAAGGTCAGCTTGATGAAGATTCTAAGAGCGAATTAGAAGATATGATAAGCAATGGTTTCTCCGAACAGCAAATTATTGATCACTTCCTTGCAAATGGAAAGACTATTCAAGAAAAGAGAAAAGAAATGTCAGAAAAGATCATTGCACTAATAACAGATGTGCACTGCTCCCCAAAGGAAAAGATTGAGCTTATCAAGGGTGTTCTTCTGTCCTCAGATTTGAAACAGATTGATAACATGCTCTCCAGAGGCTGTTCAATAGAGGAAGTAATCTCTCATTTTTCATCAAGGGGAACTCATGAAGAGTCACATAGTGAGCTGGTTGAAAGGGTGAAAAAATTATCCTGTGGAAAACCTTTACCCCCTGAGGACATGCTGGAGATTATTAAAGGTCAACTTGGAAATGCTGGCCAGGCTGAATTAGATGATTTGATAAGCAAAGGGTATAATGCTCAAGATATAGTAGAATACTTCCTTGAGAAAGGAAAAACTCCTGAAGAAGAAAGACTGAGCAGTAAACTTAACGAGCTTGGAGATCTGTCTAAAATGACAAAAGAAGAAATGCTCAGTGCAATGAATACTCATCTTAACAAGCAAGAAAAAGCAGCAATGGAACAGATGCTGAAAGCAGGCAAATCAATTGAGGAAATTCTCCATCAATTTGCAGATTCTGATAAGCCTGAATCTCTTAGCGAGAGAATCAAGAAACTTTCTGCAAATAGAAAACTGTCAAATGAAGAAATTATAGACCTTATGAAAGATAACATTAGTGATGAGCAAAGAGAAGAGATGGATAAAATGCTTGCCAATGGAATGTCTTCTGAAGATGTTGTCAAATACTTTTTGGAAAACGGGAAGTGTAAAACAGAATATCATAAAGATGTCGCTAAAATGTTGGAATCTCTGATTGATCTTAATAAAATGAATGACAAGGAAATAAAGAAAATTCTTGATGCCCAGCTCTCAGATGCTGACAAGGAAGAAATGGAGTTTATGATTAAAAATGGATGCTCTATGGAAGAAATAGTGGCATATTTCAAATGCAGAGCCATTGAAGATGATGAAACAATTTCCGAACTATCCAAAAGGGTTAAGAAGATTTCATTGGGGAAAAATATTTCTGATGATGACATGTTAAAAATCATCAGAGAACAGCTTGGAGCTGAGGGACAATCTAAGTTAGATAGTATGTTGAGGGAAGGATTATCAACCCAAGATATCATAGAATATTTTATGATTAATGGAAAAACTGAAAGAGAAGAGCACAAAGAAGTTGCTCAAAAGATCGGGAGATTGGTACAAAAAAGAAAACTTTCCAGAGAAGAAATAAAAGACATTCTCAGTAGTAATCTTGGAGAAGCAGATGTCCTAAAAATGAATGAGCTGCTAAACCATGGTTGCACTTATGAAGAAATCTTGCAACACTTTCTACTTCGAGGTGCATCACCTGAGAAGTCCAAAACAGAGCTTTCAAAGAGGGTAAAGAAGATGTCTCAGGGAAAAGGATTAACTAAATCAGAGATAATTGAAATCATAAGATTGCAGCTAACTCAAGAAGGTCAAGAGTCTCTTGATCTAATGCTGACAAAAGGATATTACCAACAAGATGTTATAACACACTTTATGATGAAAGGTAAAACTTGTGATGAAGAGTATCGAGATATAGCAGAAAAACTTAGTCAGCTGATCAACCCAGAGACAATGACAGAAGAAGAAATATTACAAATTATAAAAGATAATGTTGGCGGATTTGATAAGGCTCAGGTTGAGGAAATGCTTCGCTGTGGTTGTACTACTCCTGAAATATTAAACCTTTTCCTAAACAGGGGAAAGAGTCTCGATTTTAAGACTAAGCTCTATGCTCGAGTACAACAGCTTGTGGAGGGTAAAGTTATACATCCACTGGATTTACTGGATATCATTAAGGCCAATGCATCAGAGGATTTACTTGATGATATTAAGAAGTTGTTTGAAAAGGGATACACAGTACAAGATGTTATAGAGCATGCACTAAAATATGGTAAAACACCAGAAGAAAAATTAAAGGAGGTGGCCGAAAAGATGTACCAACTGCTACAGTCAGATATGAAAGATGCAGATGTGTTGGCTGCCATGAAAAGACAGCTTGGAAAAGATGGAAATGCAAAGGTGGATGAAATGCTAAAAAGTGGATTTTCTTTAACAGAAATACTAGATTTTCTAATGGGCAAGGACAACAGTGAGCCAGAAGAAGAAACAGAATTTGCAATAAAGATTAAACAATTGATGGGAGATCGTATACTGGACGCAGATGAGATGATTGAGCTAATCAAAAGCCAGTTGGATATTAGTACACAAATCCAAATAGATGAGATGCTTAGAAATGGTTGTTCAAAGGATGAGATTGTCAAACATTTTATGAATAGAGAGAAAAATAAAAAAGGTCAAAAGAAAAATGAATTTGGAAGAAAAATATTTGAACTTACAAAAGGTTCCAAGCTTACCAAAAGAGAAATAATATTGCTAATGAAAAATCATTTAGATGAGGAATCATGTGCAAAAATGGAAGATATGATTAAGAAATGTTACCCAATGGAAGATATTATTGATTATTTCCTCAAGCATGGAAAAACTCCTGAGCAAGCTCTTCGTGAAAAAGTATTATTGAAAGAGAGAAATAAAAAAGAAGCTTCTAGAAAAATTAGAAAAATGATTGATGGTAATAATCTGTCCAATGAAGAAATTTTAGCAATTCTTAAACTTCAAATGGGTGATGACGACAAAGCTCAACTAGAACTAATGGTAAAAAAAGGTTGCACAGCACAAGAAATCATAGATCACTTCATGAACCGGGATGTCTCAGATGATGAAAATGAACAGACATTATTTGAAAAGAAAATGATTGATCTAATGCAAGGTAAAGATATGTCTAAAGACGATATTCTTAAGTTAATGAAAAGTGAACTGGATAATGAATCTGTCAAACAAATGGAAGAAATGGTGAAGAAGGGATATACTAAAGATGATATTATCAAATATTTTATGAAGCATGGAGATGATCGAAATGACTTTGTGCAGGAAATGAAGAAGCTGACAGATGACTCATCTCTTTCCAAAGAGGAATTATTGGAGGTAATGAAAAACAAACTAGGAGTTCTTTCACAGCGCAAAGTTGATGAAATGATACGGGAAGGATATTCTACTGATGAAATTATCCAGCATTTAATGGCTCATGGCAAAACTCAGGAACAAGAATATAATCTTTTCACAAGAAGAATGAGTCAAATACTAGATGAGAAATCCATGACGGAGAAAGAAAAGGTTGAAAAGCTCAAAGAAAATCTGGGGAAAGAGGCAGCATCTATGGTAGAGGAGCTGTTGAAAAATGGTTTAACTCCAAATGACATCCTTGACCTGTTCTTGAAGCATGGAGACAACCTCAATGGTCTTGTCAAAGATGACTTTTTTGTGCGTGAACTTATATTTCCTGAAGAACCTTCTGATGCCCATCTTCACAAGAGCAGAAATGTGTTTATTATCATAGACAAAGATGAATCAAAAAAATTACTTTCATACATGAGTCCATCGGGCAAGGTTCATATATTTGGAATTTTCTTTGAGCAAGTTTTAAAACTTATTGATGGAAAAGATCTAACACACAGAGAAATTTTAGACCTAATGAGAAGTAGAATGGGTGCTGGTTATGCCAAAGAATTTGATGAGTTAAGAGAGAAAGGATTTTCCCTTCAACAAATAGTTGATTATTTCCTTCAAAGAGACGAAGAAACAATTGCAGAATCCCGACTAGTTGCTAAACTGAAAGCTGATGCTCGAGTTGATTCCCGTGTTTATCTAAAGAGAACATATTCTAAGGAGAAATGGGGTGTCAGTCTAACTTATACATTCAGGTATGACAATACTTACCTCCATTTAACGCTAAAATAACAGGAAGTCACATGGAAGTTCTGGGATTGGGGAACTACAGCATTAATTGTCCTAAATATGCTACTTGCAATATCAGATTTGAATATGCAAGTGGCGCATAATACTTTGTTTTTTTGGCACACAAATATTTCTCATGCTTTTTACACTTTACAGTTTATAAATAAGCTAGATATTTAAGTCTTGTGCAAAATGCAGAATTTGTTCTGAAATGTTGTTTTGTCTGCTATGTCCTTATCTGATCAAATAATATGTAAAAAGCAATTATGTCTCTCAATTAAACCCGCCGGAATACTAGGTATTTTCTCTTTGTCTTGAAAAATAAAACTAATTTACACAGTTTAAAGTTAAGAACAAATTATACTTTTCTCTTTGGGGATACTATTATTTGATTTTTTTTCAGAAAATTTTGAAAATGAGGTCGATTTTTTAAATGGATTTTAGTTCATCAAAAATGTCATTCTCAGACAAATTATTTTCTGTTTAGTAAAAACCATGGTCTGCATCTAATTTTAAATGATGTGACTGAGAACGGGCCTGCATGGGAGAGTGGTGTACGTCCTGGCGATGTTATTGTAACTATTAATGATTGGCTCATAGTTCTAATGGACAGACCACAGGTAGATCATTTCAGTCGAAGAACCTTTAAATCTATTAATTCTGTGTATTACAGTGTAAGGAGATCAAAACAATAGAATTCATAGCCTGTATTTTAGGACAGGCTATCGTTACAAATCAAAAAATATTTTTATTTGATCAAGGCTAATAAATTACGGTTGTTGATAAGGCTTTTTTACTGAAGGAGTAAAACAAAATGTTCAGACTTTCTCTATGTGTTTGCTTTTCTGCTTTTCTGCTTCTTTTAGATGAAGGAAAGTATTTCAATTATTTGCAATTCCACGGGTCAGGTTCGGGCCATTTTCTATTAATTTATATCTTTCTCATTCCGCAGCAGTCTGCCCTGAGTTACTTTTCCAGATAAAACTAATAAATTCAGGGGGAAACCATTTAGAATTATATCCCGGACCAAAAACTGACACATGATGTTATTCAAATTATTTAAAAGTTGTGGACAAAAAAATACAAGGAATTAAACCTTTGCCACAAACTTAAATTTCCTAATTTCTATATCTTTGCAACCAGATTGTCCACGACATTGGGCTGCAAAGATACAGGAATAAGAAAATCAGAGTTTGTGGCAAAGGCTTTTTTTCTGAAGAAAAAACCTAAAAAAAGGTAAAAAAAAAGCCAATTCATATTTATAACTTTATTTTTAACTTTGCATTATAAAAAATGAAATGTTTTACATCTTTTGCCTCTTTGAAATTAGATTAAAATACTTAATTTAAAGTAAAATTATAGTTTTTTTGTCTTGCCTTATTTTACCCTATTTTTAATATATATAGAGGAAAAATACAGTTTAATAGCACATTTTCTGAACTAATAACCCACAATTTATAATTCTCACTTTAAACTGTAGTGTTTAAAGATTGTTTGCTTTTAAGTTAAAAGTTTGAATTTGATACTTTAAATATGAGATGAATAAACAAACTATTCAGATTATGCAAATCCGACTTCATGGAGCCCATTTTTTCTCCTTTCTTGAAAATGACTCGACCTCCACAGAGGCTATTAATGAATATAGAGAATAAATTTATTCTTGAGCCGGGATTGTCAATTAAACTAGATCAATTTTGATTTGATGTACATCAACATATATTTAAAGTTTTTTTTTGCAGATTATTTATCAATGTCAAATTGATTATCAAGTACAATAGGTAGCAACAGAGAGATGGACCAATTAAACATAACGTCACAGGTGTCAAATATAATAAGGAAGACAACATTTTATCTCATTAGTTTTCCAAGATTGAATAAAAAAGTGTTTAAACAAAAAAAAAAGAAACACAATATTGCACTTATTTCACTGTAAGATAAACACTTTATTATCACTATTATCAATAATTTTGTCGGACCCATAAAACGATTGACACTTGTGACGTAAGAATACAGCTGTACTGAATCATGGTACTTAATAATCTATTTGATTGGATTGAAATTGTATAACTAAGTAAAATCTCTGTTTACATTAATCTATCTGTACTGTCAAGTGACTCAAACATGGCAATGTCTGATATTCAACAACAACCTTTGTTTGATCAAGTATGAACTAGATATCATTGTTTATATTGTTGAAAATGGATTATTTTCAATTGTGGTTTCTTTACAAAAGTGAATTGTGAAATTTTATACTGCAGGAACACATATTGGAATTATCAGAAGTTAACACTTTAAACCCAATAGTGATCTTGTGTTGCAGCCATCTTTGCATGGAGGGTCACTTGAAATTACGCTTACAGTCCCTTTAAATCAAAACGTCATCACCTTCCTAATTAGACGGAAGTAATTTTCTAAATTATTTGTCTCTCAATAAGCTGATAGTTAACCTTGTTTCCCTTCAAGTAGGTTAATTACATTCCTAACCTTCCTCAAGCTTTAATGGCGGCATTTTTAAAAGTATATTTTTAAGACTCATGTTTCTTTTTTCCTTAAAATTTAAAGTTAAATAAGCATTTTAAAAAATTTGTTATACATTAATATTAGTAATAATACAGATGTAGTTGTATATATCAATACAATGAATACGACTTTATATTGCTGTTATGGTTTTTACCAAGCTTTCAAAAAGTGTATATACTTTGCGTATTCTGTCTATCTGTCTGTTAATCTGTTTTGTGTATCCAATAAACGTCAAAACGGCTGAACCGATCGGGTCCAAATTTTGTGGCGGACATCAATTGAACCTATGGAAGGTTTATAGAGGATCAAAATTTCAAAAATTAGCTTCCAACAAAATTCAATCATTATTAAATTTTAAAAATCCACAAAATTTTTTATAAAATCCCCGAACTTTTATTTGTTTTTGTTTTACAATGTATATACAAATAAAAAATGTCCACATTTGAAATAGATGCCTAGTATAACACATACAAATGGAAACAAAGAGAAGCTGTCAGATAACAGATTCTTCTCATGTTTGCTCGGAAACTTGTAATTTTAAAAAAGCTTTTTAAAAATCAAAACCTAAAAAGAAACGCCGACCCTAACTGTATATAAGTTTTCATTTCTAGATATATTTTTTTGTGTAATTAGAAAATATTAAAATTGATTTAGTTCCACGCATTCATGCACAATAATGGGAAATAGTTATACAGACTCCATGAAGTTTAAAATAGAAAATGCAATTTTCTAATTAGAAAATAATTCAACTACTCAAACCGGGCTCAGTCACATTTGCCATGAATATTTTTACAATAAATACATTTGCCATAATATTTTTGCAATAAATACATTTGCCATAATTACACTTTTACGCTTGCCAAGCTTGCCATGGTAAGTGTAATTATGGCAAGTGTAATTATAGCAAAAATATTATGGTTTTAACAATTTGTTTGCTACACACACTTGTGTGTACAGCAGTTGAAGAAAAAAAGTATTATAAATGTTAAATTGTGGCGGTTGAAGAAAAAAGTTTGTTTGTTTGTTTGTAAAAAGTCTGTTATTCAAGCGGTTGAAAAAATACTTTTAAAAATCATTCTCTAAACTGCTAAGAGTATAAGTTTACAAGTCTCAACCGCTTGCTAATTTGCTACTGCAGTTTTTCCCCAAGAATATCCCTGTGAACTAGGTAGATGGTAAAATGCAAAATTACTGGTACGGGTTTGTTACCTTTTAGCTTCTGTAGCTTTCATGTATGAACACACATTTTTTTTAGATTCAAAACATTTTTGTTCTTATTTGTTCTAGCTCTTCAATAGGATCGAGGAGTTTTGAATCAGATTAGATTCTTACATGCAATTTACATTAGTTTGATATAATATACCATTGTTCTTAATCTCTCTCTTTAAACATATAAGCATGTTTGTACAATTAATGAACAGTATAAAGTGTTGCATAATATTGCACAAACATTTATAGCATTACAGTGCACTTACATTTTTAGTGCAACATTGCATACTTATTTGGTAAATGCAAACAGACTTTCCAAAATAGATAAAATCGCAAAGCAAGGTCAATTTTGGGCGGCCTTCAAGTTAATCACTAAAAAGTAAATTGACAAAGCTTTTATTTAAAACTGTTAGTTTAGAACAAGATAATTATCAGTATTATGAAATTTATTGATTATTAATATTATTAAATATACAAAAAAAGATTACTATAAATGGTTATTTTCGGGCGGCCTGCAATAAGTGAAAAGTAAATAAACAAAGCTTTCATTTAAAAATTTTAAATGAAAACAATCATTTTACTTTAATTATTTACTGCAACATCTATTAAAGGATATTGTATTTGGTCTAGAAGACTCTTAAAAGAGAGTGACCGTGGCAATAAGGGTGTAGTTAGGGTGAGAGTGTAGCATTATACAGCCAATCTCACATATGAGAATACTTAGCAAGAGCACATGAAATGTTCGCAGCTTCAAAGGGTTGAGTACAATTTATAAAAATATATCCAAATATCATTGTAGAATCTAGAGTCATAAGTTTTTTGATAATTTTTAAGAAACCGTTTTTTTATTTTTTATTCCAGGTAAATTAATAGCCCTGAAAATCTAAATGTGCAGAACAGCAATTGATATAGTTAACTCGTTTTTCCACGGCATTTGATTTGAAATATTCTGATTATACGACATTTTAAAAACTCTTGCTTTGTGTTCATATACCTTAGATTGGCTGTAGGATAAAATTATAGGATAACTAAGACGTCAAACTAAGAACAAAAATGTTTCAAAATTTTTAATATGTAAACGGAGAAATTTGATTTTCTTATGTATCTGCAAAAAATGTAGACTGAAGGAGCTACGAGGTCACAAAGCAGTAACGTCGCATAAATATGGCCTTAATCTTCTGTCTAGGTTGCAGTGGTAATATGTGTCTAATTGTTAATTAAGAGTGTAAAAACATTTATTAGCTTTTCACCAGCTCGTATTCGCAGTTTGTATTTTACAATTATTTAATGATCCCAACGAAAATCAAAATTAGATTCTGCTGTGTGCAAAGGAATTGAGTCTTTGCCACAAACTCAAATTTTCTTATCCTTATATCCGATGGTGTAAACTGTTTACATGACAAATTTAGATTATTTGATCTAACAGCTTAAAACATGGAATAACAAGACTCAATTCAGGAACTTAGGCAATTAAATGTGAATTAACAATGAGAAACAAATATAAAATAATAAAAATAATACTTTTGCGGCCAATCCTTCAATATATGATGGGATATTTTGTTTATCTTGGATTAATGAATCTGTATCAAAATAATATTTAATATTTACCATTTTAATGGTTTACACTATTTTTTTTTCCTTTTAATAATATAATTTTTTCCTAAAAAAATCCATTGCAATTATAAAAATGTTTCCTTTTCTTTAATTCTAACTCTAGTTTCTCTAGACTTTACAAATTTAAAAATGTTAAAACTGGAAAAAGTTATCTCAAGGATTAGGCTTTTTATTCAAACACTGATAAGCTCTTTAAAATTTTTCTCCGTGGTGATTTACAAATATTTTCAAATACATTTTTTATGTATTTGCCTCGAGTTAAAATAGTTCAAAATGAAGACTAATTTAGACCTTGTTTCAAGTGGCACTCTATTGGAATCATTACATGTCTGAGAAAATGCAATGAAGTTTGTTTTTCTATTTAAAAATTGGTAATTTTCCATCGATAACAAGCGGATACAGTTGGGAATCGGGCATGTAACTTGTGTACCTCTTAAAAAAAACATTTTTTTTTTAAAAGGGATTTGTCACAAATTTTGATGGGAGACTTTTTAAAATGTACTTTTCTAATATTTCACTTATTTTGTCAAGAAATTTTATTTGCTTCTAAAGAACGAATTATTCATGCTAAAACATTTTTTTTTCTTAAATTTTCAAATTGATAAAATGTTTCATAATCTAATTCCAATCAATTTGGAAAGAAAATTTTGATAAATGTAATTCCTAGAAATTTTTTAGTTTGTTACTTAACATTTTTTCTTAAAAAATCATTTCTTCAAACCAATTAAAGAGAGAGCCCTGAATTCTCTCCTGATAATTAGAGATGGGCATGTTCGGCTTTTTCTTTTTGTTAATTCATGTGAACGACCCATTTCGTTCGTCTTTTTTCGATTGATGAAAAAGAAAAAATTTTGTTTGTGCTTAAAATTATTTTTAATTTTCCATTTCTTTTGTTTTCTCACGATGAACGATCGTTCAGTAAACTCGTTCGTTCAATGAATCGTTTGTTCACTAAGAAATGATAGTTTTTTTTTCAAATATTTGTTTAACAAATCGTTTGTTCATTAAAATTTTTTCGTTTTTTTAAAAAGTGTGTCAAAAAAATTGTTCGATAAGTAAAAAACGATAGTTTTTTTCAAAATCATTTGAACTTTTTTTTCGTTCAGTAAAAACTATCGTTTTTCAAGTTTGTTAGAACAAGTTTAGGCTTACATAATCAGGTTTCATAGATATAGGGATTATAAATTTGAGTTTAAGAAATTCGGTTTCTTTAAAGTTTTATTTTTTCAGGTTGCTGCCCATTTGTTCCAAGCAGGGGCTAACATTGTTAAACTAGGAATACAGAAGAGCAGAGGAACCAGTCCAGACAGATATCTGGGTATATACTAAACTAGTAGTACAGATAGATATCTGGGTATTTACTTAACTAGTAGTCCAGATAGATATCTAGGTCAATACAAAACTAGTAGTCCAGATAGATATCTTGGTATATACTAAACTAGTAGTACAGTTAAATATCTAGGTATATACTAAACTAGTAGTTCAGATAGATATCTAGGTCAATACTAAACTAGTAGTCCAGATAGATGTCTGGGTATATACTGAACTAGTAGTACTGGTAGATATCTAGGTATATACTAAACTAGTAGTACAGATAGATATCTGGGTATATACTAAACTAGTAGTCCAGATAGATATCTGGGTATATACTAAACTAGTAGTCCAGATAGATATCTGGGTATACTAAACTACTAGTACAGATAGATATCTGGGTATACTAAACTACTAGTACAGAAAGATATCTAGGTCATTTCTAAACTACTAGTCTAGATAGATATCTAGGTCTGTACTAAACTAGTAGTACAGATAGATATCTAGGTCATTTCTAAACTACTATTCTAGATATATTATGCTTAACTTATAATCACATTCCCTAAAATATGGGAGTCCATTGTGCAGTGTATCTTTATACTTTTTCTCTTAAAAGGTTAGCATTAGCAAGATATTGCTAATCCCAAAAACAAATATTCTACTTTTTATAATCTGGTTTTTGGAATCTTTTAACCAGAAGTGAACAATGCCACGTGATGATTTATTCAATCTACGAGTGATTGAAAGCTGCAAACAATGAAAAGTTTGGCACATTTTAAACGTGCAAAGTGATTTTATAAAGTGCAATTGTAAAACATGTAATTTTGCAAGATTATCAAATGTACCTTGTCTAAATGGAACTAAATCGAATTGCAATTTTAACATTTACAGAAGATAATGGTTTACGTAAAATAACTTTCGACGATTTGATAAAGCTAATTTATTTTTTAACTAGATCAAAAAGATTCCTAGATTTTGATCACTATATTATTGGATATTTCTAAAATCAATTTTTGAAAAAAAAAACTATAAATAGAAGATGATGAGTAAGTTTATTTTGAAAACTACGTGATTAGATGTGAAACCAAGATCATGCTAAAATCAAATCAATATTTACATTTATTTAATCCTTTTCTGTATCTTAATCAATACTTTGATTATTTTATTTAAATGCTATTTTTGTAGCTTCTGTTTTTTTTATGATATTTATCAATGTACCTACCGACCTACCCCGACACCCTAATATTACAAACCAACGCTTGTATCATGAATTGCAGTACTGTTATACTGTACAGTGCAGTTTTGTATTTGTTCATTGTTTATATATGTACCAATGCAACCAAAGATTTTTATTTTGGAAGCTTTTTTTACTTAGATCAAACAATTTTTAGTCGGAAACTTTTGTGAAATGTTTTCAAAAAATGTTACAAAGCTGTAACTATTAATATTGAATACTTATGTATAAATAATAAAAATGTATTATACCTTTACATAAACCTAGAAATATATACTATTTGGAGTTGGAATTCATAAGAAAGAGATCTGAGAGAAAAATATTAAACATGACCAATTGTTTTATTAAGATACATCACACAGATCCGGACTGGTAGGATAGGTTTTATTTTTTTGTTAGATTGACCCAATCTTTAAAGAGTCACAACGACTTGGCCATTGAAATAGGAAGACGACTTTTAGAATCAAGATATAACTTTATAAAGTGCAACAAGTGTGAAACACAATGAGTGTACATTGTAAGCAGACACTTTGCACTAAACTGGTGATCTATTAAGTGTCTAGTCAAACTATTCGTTTTGCTAAAATTCACCAAATAAACTAAGTGCTATAATGTCGTCTACATATTTCATTGTTTACTGGTTATCACTGTACCAGTACTTATAGAGCAAAACACCAGTGAAATCTTAGATTCTTTTCATAAAGGTTGCATGCGGCCAGTGCTTAGGATCCATTTGAATTTGATGCGGATCCGGATCCGAATCCTGGATCCGCACTGGAAAAAATGGATCCGGATCCAGTAAATTTCTTTAAGATTTACTTAATTTTTTAACAAAAAATTGTTTTCAAATTTTTGTTTTATTTTTTTCACTTATTTTTATCCTAAAACTCAATGAACCATTCAGAAATGAGGGAATTTTTATAATCTCTCTTTTTTCAAAAGTTCAGATTTGAGTTTAGGATTAAAAAAGTTTTTTTTTGCAGTTTTTGGTTGATATTTCACCCCGTGGATCCGCATATTTTTGCGGATCCGGATCCAGGAAGCCAAAATCTTGCGGATCCAACGGATCCTGATCCTAAGCACTGCATCCGGCATAGAGTTTAAACTACATTTCGACAAAATTCTTCTTTTTTCAAAATTATCAGAATCATGGACACTGGACAGTCAACAGAAGAAAACAGTACAAATGATGAGAAGAAAAATGAAAAAAGAATATATGTCTGTATCACCAGAACTTAGAACTCTAGAATGGTGGATATCGAGATCAATGCTTGATCTCCTCTTTTTCTTAATATCGAGACTAACCTAATCTTCTACTGATAAGTGTATAAAATTCAACCAATCCGAGTCGCGTATCAGAAGCCGGGAAATTTGAAATATTGCGCGCCATTTGAGATTAATATAAAGAAAAGGGAGGGAATTTCTAATTTTAAAAGCCGGTTTTTGATTTAATTTTCTGTACTATATTCAAATAAGAGTGGATTACGAAAGAAATTAACCCTATTTCTGCTGGGGTACTTGAAAACCAGGATATGCTGGGGGGGGTCAATTTGACCCCCCTCCCCTCTAAATCCCATGCTTGATGTCCAAATATGACAAATGACACATCATTGGAAAGCTCTTGTGCTCTACTTTTAAAATCTGAAAAAAAATTTGCAAATTTGCAAAAATTGAATTTTTTATCGCAAAATCCAGTTATAAAGTAAAAATGTTTGCAAATAAAATTTGTCTAAAAAATGAAAAATTATACATTTTTGAAAAGCCCTTGACCATGCCATTTAAATATGCAAAAAGTTTTGCAAAATTTTAAATAACCTGATTTTTAATCAAGAAAAACTAAACATGTGCAAATTTCCTTTGACAGGTTGTTTGCAAAAAAATTTGCAATTTTTTTTCGCAAAACTTAAGCAATTCGTTTTCTTATAACAAAGGCTTTCCAAAAAGCTAAATTTTATCAAAATCTGACAAGTGGAAGTGGGTCAAAACAAAGATTTAGTTTGTTACAGGAAAAAGCAGTCATTTAGTATTAAAGCCCGGTTTTAGGCCTAAAGGGAGGGCTTTGGCCGGGTATGTAGGAAAAGTCAGAAAATTTCAATAGCCTCAGACCAATACTTTTTGAGTTATGTAAAAGAAACTACAGGGGGGGGGGGTCAAATTGACCCCCCCCCCAGCAGGAACTCGTACAAAATAAAAACTTTTTTTAGTTTTTACAAGTTTCCTTTAAAGTTGCTGGGAGTTTTAGGATTTTAATATAATTCTGTTTATCACTAGGCAAATATATCTATTTATATATTTGCATGTTGACTGGTGCAAACACAATATTTGCATTGAATGAATATTTTGCTAAGATTGTCCTAGGCACGTCATAAAGGAGACAACTTGACATTTCTGTATACAGCTAATTGACCGTTTTAAAACTTTAAAACAACCGGAGAAAAGAAGAAAAAAATCTAGTTAAACACTTGCTGTTGTTATTGTTGATATGTTTTTAATGCTATTTAAACAATTAATTTAACATACTTTCAATCGAAATGATTACTTTCAAATTTGAAAAATTATGGAATTTTATTAATAGACACAATTCTTCGATCCACACAAAATTCAGTTGTTTTGAGAGTTTGTGCAGGGGCGTAAATAAGGATTCTGTAGAAGCGCGCCGAATTCCCCCCCACCCTAAAAAACATTAAGATATAAAATTATTGGTTTTAGTTGGGTTTGATTTGCATTTTCCACTCAATTCTGGCATTTGCAAACTTCATCAAATAAAGGCTTCATTTCATACCTTTCAGCTTTCACCTTGTTTTATATCCTTCATTATAGTCATTCATTTTACATTAACTACAAAGATCTGTAAAAAAACTGAATTTATGTTAAGTTACTCTAAGAAGAAAAAGATGTTACTTTTTAAATCTTTAGAAAAGCTACTCTGCAAAACTTTGAAAAAAATATTGTCTTTGTTTATATTCTAATTTCTAAAATTGTCTTGTTGTCTGCATATACTACGTATATATGTTAATTTCACTATATTTAAAGAGAAATGTCTTACTTTTTAAAATTTAATTCTTAATAATCTTGATCTTTTAACATTTTATTCCCCCCGCCTTTCCCAGGAAGAGCTACAGGGTGTCCCACGAAACATGACAATAGGAAGACGACTTGAAAGTCGTCTTTGGTATTTGAATTTATTTGTGACATTTAGTCTTCTATCTACTTTAACATGTATGATTCTTGAAACAATTATCACATAATTCTCCTCGCCCTGGCATTTCCAAAAAGTGGTCTGCGTTTTTTGTGCTTTCAATATTACCGGAGATATAAAGAGTTTGGTTCAGATTTCTATTTTGTTAAATAAAAGCAAAATTGTCGAAATCTGAACGAAATTCTTCATATCTCGGGCAATATTGAAAGCACAAAAAAGGCAGACCACATTTTGGAAATGGCAGGACAAGGGAAATTTTGTGATTATTATCTCTAGAAATTTACTTCTAAAATTAGATTGACAAATAAACGCAGCAAATTATATAAAAAATCAAGACGACATTCAAGTCGTCCTGCATACTGTCATGTTTCGTGGGACACCCTGTATACTCAATTTGAAATATAGTGGAAGTACGCTACTACATTAAAAAACTCGATTTTTTGGTAACATTTATCTATGTTACTTTGATTAAGAAAGATTATCTGCGCGAAGCGCCAACATTTTTTTTACATTTTTCCTAATAATTAATGGTAATCATAGACATGGAGAATGGAGATCAAGTTACTAAACGGGGATATTTGTGTCCCCAAGATTCTAGGGGGGGGGGTAAGTAACCCCAATAACCCCCCGTATTTACGCCACTGAGTTTGGAATTCTGAAAACATGCTCATTACAATTAAAACCATATTTCCGTAATTAAGAAATTTCAAAAATGGCGTTTGCATTATTTATTCTTATTTTGATAGGATTGATTATTGAATACCACCAAAACTATCGAAATTTCTAACATCTTCTCGTTACTGTTTTAGATACAATTGTTATTGAGTGGCGTTTACAGGAATTTATCCAGGGTGGGGGCTTAAAACGTTTTTGTTTCTTTCCTGGGGGGTAAGGGACTAAACTCCCCATGATATCATACGTTTAACTAATCAAACCCCCCTTTATACGCAGACAGTAGACCCTAGGCATGATTTGGTGTACAGAGCGTCCCATACCATACTAGATTATCTCCAAGTATCAACGCCAAAATAAACCCATAATACTAGAAAAAGCTATCATTTTCCGCAAGAAAATTCTTATATTAACCTTATTCAATTCTTCAAAATGATTCATTCTTCTTAAATTTTCTGATTAGTCCCGAAAATCCTAATTTAGACCGATTGACGATCTAATATGATGTGGGACACGAGGGAGGGAAGGCCAAGCAGCCATGAACCCCGTGGAAAAGTCTCCGAAACCCTGCAGAAACAGTCTCCGAACCCTCTCCACGGGGTTCGGAGACCATTCCACAGGGTTCGGAGATTTTCCACGGGGTTCATGGCTTCTTGGCCTTCCCTCCCTAGGGACACCCTGTACATTATTACAGTGAATCCGAGATATATGAATACATAGCAAGAGTTTATGTCGTATTACATATTTTAAGATCGAATGCCGCGGAAAAGTGAGTTTAATATTAATATATCAATTGCATTCACATTTCAGGGGTATTAGTTTACCTTGAATTAAAAATAAAGAAAAGTTTCTTTAGAATTTTCAAAATAACGTATGACGGTCTATGTATTCATATATGTAGGATTCCCCGTATGTTAAAATGACAAATTGTTTTTCACTGTGATTTAAAGGCTGCAAAGCTGAAAATAACTGCTTTATAGTTCTTTTATAAGTGGTAAAAGCAAAGCCCAAGGAATTGCAACACTGCAAAGTCGATCATGTCTTGAAAATTGATTGAATTTTTCATAGCAGGCTTAATCTAATTGGGCAGACAATTCCCTAGGATATTTTGACAGGCTCTATCAAGGATTTTTTTCTTTAAAATGCGCGAAATCTTTATGCAGTAGCTCGGACATGCGCGCGATTGAATATGCATGCATGGTTAAAATCAGAGAATAGGAATAAAGGGAAAGGAAATGGCGCTAGTCTGGCATGAGAAAGCCAGTCGCACTGCTTTGCAGACGAGTTCGGTATTCCTTACACACACTCTTCTGATACAGACACACATGACTACAGTCAAGGAAATTGCAGAACAATGGCGTAAATTATAATTAAACTTGAAAAACGAAGTTTATTGTAAATTATATTCTTAGCATCAAAATTTGGCTTTATAGTGTTGACTAAAATATGTAAATAATATATTACATGTACCAAATCCAAGTGGCCTTTTTACCACCCTAAGATGTGTTATAGTTTTAACTATATTTATTACACGTATACAATCATTAATATAATTAACATTTAACATTAATTGGACAGATAACATCAACTATATAGATTACAAACTTATTATTATCAGCAGATTTGTATAAATTAGCACTGTTTTAAATACAATACATTTGTTAAGAAATGGATTATAGTCATGTATTCGTGATCAAGCCACAAATAACAATCATCACTGTATTTGAAAAACAAAAATTCGCCTCTGGAAGGAACTATCGGAATTTCTAAATGGTCCTCCATCTGAGGGAGGGAATCATCGGACGCCATGAGCCTCAACTATGCAGACACTAGCCTCCAAGATTTGCTAGACAGACCGTGCCTCAGCTTTGCAGTAATGAGCATGCGCGCAATACATCAAAATGTGCCTGTGTATTACTTTTGTTTAAGTTTTAATAAAAGTTTTTTTTAGGTAAGTATTTAAAAATTATCATAAATAGTGCTACAATACTAAAATCTTAACATTACAAACTAAAGCCCGGTTCATAGATCGAGCTGTAGCTATGACTTGACAGCTGAGCTGTAGCTAGTTAAAGCTGTCTGAGTTTTCTAGTCAATGAACGCACCTAGATCAGACCTTAGGTGTGACTTCAAATCGTAGCAAAATTTCAGCTGATCCAAATCATACCTCAGCTAGGATTTAGCTCCGACTTCACAGCTAAATCACAGCTAATGGGAACAAACTGGACGCCATTATTTACAGAATCCAAATGAAATGGGAACATTTATTCAGCCATTAAAATGAAAATATGAAAAATCGAATATAATATTTTGTTGTATTGTTTTACTTTTAGTTTATCAAAAAAAGAATAGTTAATTTTGTTTACAAAATGAAAAGATAATTGATCAAATTTATATTGCAATTAAAATGTAAATTGTTCATAAACAAATGATTAAATATAAATTCGAAAATTTGATTTTTCAAAAAAAAATTTTGGTATTTGAAGAAATGAAAGGGAGGGGGGCGTTGGGTCCAAGGGGGAGGATGCATTTTTATAAATAAATAAATATGAAAATTGCATATTCATCTACATAAAACTAAAAAACTTTACTCTTTGTTTAGACAAATTTGTCAACAAAATATGATGAAATTTTCAGAATTTAGTATCTTGAAATTTTGTAATACAAATTTTTTTGGTAAAATTTTGTCCTTTTTTAAAAGACGACTTTATTAAAGAGATCGCTTTTTGTGCAAATGCCCAGTAAGATTTCAATTTAAGCTGTCAAATTGCTATGACTTCGCAGCTTGGATTACAGCTTAGCTGCGACTCGAAGTCACAGCTATCAAATGCTATGACTTGAGACTAATGAACGAGGTGTGATCCAATTTTGAGATCAGAGCTCAGAGCTATGTCTGGAAATCATAGTCGTAGTTACAGCAAGTTACAGCTTGTTCTATGAACCGGGCATAAGTTTACTCCAGAAATATTTCTCCAAATATCTTCCTTTCTGCTTAAGAAATGTTTAAAATTTTAGTATAAATCTTATATACAACTATATGAGTCCATATATGTTTCAAATCATGACAATCAATAAATAACTCTATTCTTTAGTAAAATTCTTATGCCACTACGTCAAAAAAAAGTTGTTAAAATTTTTCATTATACTTAAAACCCAATATTTAAAAAGCAGTGTATGATGGAGGCGCGTTTACTGTGCATAGTAGAGGCTCCGTCTGCCTTGCAAATCTGGGAGGCTCGTGTCTGAATAGCGGAGGCTCACGGCGTCCTTGGGTTTCCATCTAAAGGACATGTCTAACTCACAACAATACCCTTTAGCATTAGTGGAACAAAACGGCTGTATTTATACACCTTTTTCCATCTGAAAACTGACGGTTTCCTACTTGGATTCTCTCTTGGATGTATGCAACAAGGATGGAGAAGGAAATTAGCACTTTACCAGAATGCCGGTAGAAATTTCCTTGGATGAAAGTTAAAGAATCGATGTATAAAATCGTAAACGTTCCTTTGTATATAGAGGTTCACTTGCAAATACGTCAACAATCCCTTTAAATGGGAAACAATATCACATTAATTAGCTACAGGGTGTCACACGAAACATGACGTAGCAAACCGACTTGAAAGTCGTCTTTGATTTTTGAATTTATTCGTGAACTTCAGTCGTCAATCTTCTTTAACATGTATTTATTCTTGAAACAATAACCACAAAATTAGTCCTGGCATTTTCAAAATGTGGTCTGCCTCTTTTTGTGCTGTCAATATTGACGGAGTTATTAAGAATTTTCTCGAGATTTCGACAATTTTGGTTTTATTTAATAAAAATTTAAATCTGAACGAAACAGCCCACATTTTGAAAATGCAATACTAAGAGTATTTTGTGATTATCAATTATGAAAGTCTACTTCTAAAATTAGGTTGAATATATGTCGCCAAGTATTTCAAATATCAAAGACGACCTTCAAGCCGTCTTGCTCTGTCATGTTTTGTGAGACACACTGTATAAATTGGAATTGAACGAAGTTTCTACTTTGTGCGCATTTTTCTAAAACCTGAACCTAAAATGTGTGCACTGTGCACTGTGCAGTGTGCACTGTGCACTGTGCACTGTGCACTGTGCACTGTGCACTGTGCACTGTGCACTGTGCACTGTTATTAGCAAATTAAACAAATGTATTCTGTACCAATAAACGCAGAATAAATAATGTATAAAGAAAAATAAAACAAAATTGGTATATATTCTTTTTTTTTTGGAGGGGGGGGGGAATAATGTTCAAAATAAGAAAGCTTTGAAATGTTAATATTGAGTATTGACGGAAGGATTTTAAAAAATCAGTTCATTCAAAATTGTCACCTTGAATTTTAGAAGTGGTCTCAAATAAATTGTTTAATTGTTTATTATTAAACCTTACACTTTACTGAAAACGAAAAATAATCTTTGTATGATTAACACAATTAAAAAGGAAAATATCTATACTCCTTTTGCGTACTACATTATAATATCAATGTTAGGTGTATAAAAGTTTGAAAATAGTAAGATTTACAATAAACCGGCAACTAAAAGTTAAATTTTAAGTTGCTCATGAAACACAGTTATTTAAGGATGTCAACCTGGGGTTACGGCAACTCAGGTTCCCGGAAACCCTTCACCCGAGTTTGGTTGCATCCAGAGCTGAGAAATTTAGAATAATGGATATCGAGATCAATGCTTGATCTTCGCTTTTTCTTAATCTCCAGATAAAATAATGCTTATTCTCCTCTAGTTATTAATTTCCAGATTAATTTACCGATCGGGATTAAGTATATTCCATTCTAAAGTTTTCAGCTCAGGTATCATTAACAGAGCAAACCTAGGTGGATTTAACAGACAATAAAATCTGAATCGTGAGGTGAAGTATTGGTGGGTGAAGTCTACTGTGAGTCAAAACACCCCCAGCGATTCACTTTAATTAAAATAATTAATAATAGCAAAAAAAAGATGATGCAATGCTTGTAATGGTTTAATATTTGTTTTCATAAGGATCTCCATTAGATTTTAGCAGGCAGTATGAAGTTGGCAGATCATGAGTATAGGATTCAAGGATACGAAGAAATAGATATAATGTTGGGAGAATTGGACGAGTTATAAATATTTAAAAGTAAAAATGGGAAAATTGGAAAAGCACGATGGAACTGAAAATACAGATATTTTAAAAGTAAAAAATTCAATTAAAGGATTATATCATGGATGACGGCTATATAAACTGAAGTGAAGAGAAGATTGAATGTCATTGATGAATTACAAGTATATTCTTTGATTCAAGATGTGTTCGATGCAGAGCAGAGATGATGTAAGAACCCAAGACGAGATCTGTGAGCATGAGATGGCAGATCTCTTATACTTAGGTAAACTGGGAGTTAGGGATGATAGATCTCTTACAATTAGGTAGACTGGGAGCTAGGGATGATAGATCTCTTACAATTAGGTAGACTGGGAGCTAGGGATGGTATCATCTCTTATATTAAGGTAGACTGGGAGCTAGGGATAGCAGATCTCTTATAATAAGGTAGACTGGGAGCTAGGGATGGTAGATCTCTTATAATTAGGTAGACTAGGAGCTAGGGATGGTAGATCTCTTATAATTAGGTAGACTGGGTGCTAGGGATGGTAGTCTTATAATTAGGTAGACTAGGAGCTAGGAATGGTAGCTCTCTTATAATTAGACTAGGAGCTAGGGATGGTAGATCTCTTATAATTAGGTAGACTGGGTGCTAGGGATGGTAGATCTCTTATAATTAGGTAGACTAGGAGCTAGGAATGGTAGCTCTCTTATAATTAGGTAGATGGGAGCTAGGGAAGAAAGACCTCTTATAATTAGGTAGACTGGGAGCTAGGGATGGTAGATCTCTTATAATTAGGTAGACTAGGAGCTAGGGATGGTAGACCTCTTATAATTAGGTAGACTGGGAGCTAGGGATGGTAGATCTCTTATAATTAGGTAGGCTGGGAGCTAGGGATGGTATATCTCTTATTATAAGGTAGACTGAGAGCTATATATGGTAGATCTCTCTTGATTAGATAGAGTGGGAGCTAGAGATGGTAGTTCTCTAATAATTAGGTAGGCTGGGAGCTAAAGATGTTAGTCCTTCTATAATTAGGTAGGCTGGAAGCTAGATATGGTAAACCTCTTAGAACTATGTAGACTGGGAGCTAGGCCTAGTTAGGACTAGGGAGCTAAGGTACTTAGACTGGATAGGACGGCTTTCAAGCAGTACAGCATGAGCTTCATTCAAACTAAGAATACAAATTTAAAAAAAAAAATCAGTTCAACTTAATGAAAATTGATATATATGAACGAAAATAAGTGGAACTTAAGGGGGAAAACACAAGATGTCCTGTTATTGTTCTTTGTTTTTTTCCCAACCAATCATTTGTTACCCCTCTTTTTTATCCAATTGTATCCAAACTTTTTGGAGTTTGATTACAATGATCGAAAGTTCCCAACCGCGTTTTTGTGACCCAAAAAAGAAATGAAGGTGAAGAAGTAGATTTAAACAATAGTAACTAACATTTTAAAAAGATATTTTCACAAATTTGGGCTAAATTCTGGTTAAAACTTTCTTCCTTGCATTAGAAAATTAATTACCTGAACCATTCACGACTCCTACCAGACTCAGCCCAATCTTCCTCAAGCTCCTGAACATTATATATTTGGTTATACATGGTTATACTTGGTTATACTTGTTTATACTCAAGTATACTCAAGTATAATATACATATATTGGTTATACTTGGTTATAATTGTTTATACTTGAGTATATTTGGTTATACTTAGTTATACTTGGTTATGCTTGGTTATAGTTGGTTATAATTGGTTATACATGGTTATACTCGGTGATACTTGGTTATAGTTGATTATAATTGGTCATACATGGTTATACTTGGTTATACTTGGTTATACTTGGTTATATTTGGTTATACTTGGTTATCCTAGGTTATACTTGGTTATACTTGGTTATACTTGGTTATATTGGTTATTATACTTGGTTATACTTGGTTATATTTGGTTATATTTAGTTAAACTTGGTTATACTTGGTTATAGTTGGTTATAATTGTTTATACATGGTTATACTTGGTTATACTTGGTTACCTTGGTTATAGTTGGTTATAATTGGTTATACATGGGTATACTTGGTTATACTTGGTTATACTTGGTTATACTTGGTTATACTTGATTACTAGGTTATACTTGCTTATACTTGGTTATATTGGTTATACTTGGTTATACTTGGTTATACTTGGTTATATTTGGTTATATTTAGTTATACTTGGTTATACTTGGTTATAGTTGGTTATAATTGGTTATACATGGTTATACATGGTTATACTTGGTTGTACTTGGTTATACTTGATTATACTTGGTTGTACTTGGTTGTACTTGGTTATACTTAAGTTACATTTGGTTACATTTGGTTACATTTGGTTACATTTGGTTATACTTGGTTATACTTGGTTATACTTGGTTATACTTGGTTATACTTGGTTATACTTGGTTATACTTGGTTATACTTGGTTATACTTGGTTATATTTGGTTATAATTGGTTATACTTGGTTATACTAGGCTTATACTTGGTTATACTTGATTATACTTGGTTATACTTGGTTATACTTGGTTATACTTGGTCATAATTGGTTATACTTGGTTATACTAGGCTTATAATTGGTTATACTAGGCTTATACAAGGCTTATACTAGGCTTATACTAGGCTTATGCAAGGCTTATACTAGGTTTATACGAAGATTATACTAGTCTTATACTAGGCTTATACTGGGGTTATATTTAAATTATAATTTTGAAATACTTGATTACACTTGGCTTAAATTAGTTTTACTATGTTATAATTAGTTTTACTATTATATACTTTGATCTGATTTTTTCCTTAGTTTTAATATGTTCTGCTTTGTTTAACTATTATATACTTTTTTACTATACTTTGTTTTACTTCGTTTAACACTTTGTAATACTTTTTAACTTTTTTTTTACTTTTTTTTAACTTTATTTTTCTTAGTTTTAATATGTTCTACTTAGTTTTAATATTATTTACTTTTTACATTGTTTTACAATTGCTTACAATATTTTTAATTAGTTTTACTATTATAAACTGTTTTACTTATCTACTTTTTTATGCTTTGTTTTACTATGATTTACTTTGTTTTTCTTTGATTTACTAATATATACTTTGTTTTACTATGTTATTTTTTGTTTTACTATTATATTTTTACTTTTTTATTTTCACTTAGATATGCTTTGTTTTAGACTTTGTTATACTCTTTTTACATTGATATACTTTTGTTAACGGCTAGAAAACAAGATTCTCAAGATGATAGATAATTAGTCCGCTGAAATCAGTTGTTGAAGTAGGTATATTTCCCAACAATATTTCCCGATTGGAACAGCAAACTCACAATAGAATGAACCCCCGTCTCAAAAATCGATGGCAAAAAATTCTCTTTATTTATTGAAAAATTACATATATTGATTACGTGTACAAATGGTAAAATTATTGTTTATGATGAAAAAATCTTTACGATCTAATTCTGGGTGATTAGGGGGTAACAATGGTTGAACAGTACTAAAAGACGTTTTAAACTTCTGAAATAAGATGACAATTGTTTATTAACAAAAGTCACTAATTCTTTATATAAAAATTATTCTTTGTTTAAATTTTGAAAATAGAATCACAATACGCGAGGCTTTTGTTTATGAATCTGTTGGAGAGAACAAAGGAAGGGGGGGGGGGTTAAAATTGTTTGGTTTGTTTTTTATTGTTTTACACTTTGTTAAACTTTGCTTTTCTGCATTTTTTTGCTTTACTTTCTTAAATTCTACTAGAAGTTTAAATTTTGGCTTATAATGATAATATTGTCAACCAATCAAAAGGATATAGCCTCGAAATGGGCAGCGGAAATGGAGCTAAGGAAATGCAACTCGAGATAGCGGAAACTTCGGTCGGAGCCGGGTATATGTTTCCTAAGTAAGCTTCTCAAGGGATGACAAATCCAAAGGCAGAAATGGAGCTAAGGAAGTGCAAATCAAGATAACTGAAACTTCGGTCGGAGCCGGGTATATGTTTCCTAAGTAAGCTTCTAAAGGGATGACAAATCCAAAGGCGGAAATGGAGCTAAGGAAGTGCAACTCGAGATAGCGGAAACTTCCGTCGGAGCCGGGTATATGTTTCCTAAGTAAGCTTCTCAAGGGATGACAAATCCAAAGGCGGAAATGGAGCTAAGGAAGTGCAAATCAAGATAACTGAAACTTCGGTCGGAGCCGGGTATATCTTTCCTAAGTAAGCTTCTCAAGGGATGAAAAATCCAAAGGCGGAAATGGAGCTAAGGAAGTGCAACTCGAGATAGCTGAAACTTTGGTCGGAGCCGGGTATATGTTTCCTAAGTAAGCTTCTCAAGGGATGACAAATCCAAAGGCGAAAATGGAGCTAAGGAAGTGCAACTCGAGATAGCGGAAACTTCGGTCGTAGCCGGGTATATGTTTCATAAGTAAGTTTCTCAAGGAATGACAAATCCAAAGGCGGTAGGCTGGATAAACACTCTAACTCCCACACAATACATAGACGAGAACTTCTTGATGAAAATATATTTAAGTAACGAGGTTTCCTACAACAAAATACAAATTGTTACTGACGTAATGTGTATAAATAACGACTGTCAATAAAGATCTAACAGCTGAGGGTAATTAACAATAAATGAGTATTGTTGTGAATCGAACAATTGCTTTAGAAACATGTACCATTGAGAATTGAACAAAGGCCTAAAAGGTATTGGAAACTCTAGGTTTTGCAGGTTTTGTGGATCATATTTTATTACGGTTGTGAATCGATAAATAAAAGGTTTAAAAGGTACTGTTGTGAATTGATAAATAAAAGGTTTAAAAAGGTACTGTTGTGAATCAAACATTAGGAACTTACGATCTAGAGTTGCATAGCATGGGAATAGTTGTTTGAATTGTAGTCTAAAGCAATTTTAATCTTCTGAAATAAATATTCATTTGGTTAAAGGAATTTCACTGTTTGCAAACGATTCACTGGAATTATGTTTAAATTTGTTTCTTTTTAATGAACTTAAAGTTTTATTAAATACATAAGGCTTTTGTTTTCTTTTGAAAATGTTTGGTTTGGAAAGTGGACTCTAGCGGAAGTACAATTTGTCAGAGACGACCTTGCAACAGAGTAGATTATGGGGTATGGTTCAAAAATATGAATAACAATTAAATGTTGATTGAAGTCCTATTTTCAATTTCAAATTCACCCTGCGGGGTTCGGTTATAAATTCTTACTTAAATATGATTTTTATTCTTATGACAGGGCAGAAGTAAAAATATACAGCATGGGGTCGGGGGTTATTTTTGTTAGACACAGACCCCCTAATATGTATAAATACAAATACTGAAGGAAATGCATGCGCAACCCTATATTCGTGTGATTTGCTAAGTTCAAAGTATCTAAATACAGATGTTTATATCGACCTTTAAACTGTTTACTAGATATATCTACTCGAATACTTCGATGCAGCTCCGAAAGCATTACAGGGTGTCCCAACATAGGAATTTAGACATTGGACCATTACAAATCTATGAAAAATAAGCAACAAAGGCATCAAACTGGGTTTGGGACGAAAGTTCGACGACCTTAAACAAGTTTTTTTTGTTGCTTATCAAAATTTCAAGAATATCAAAATTCACACAAATGGTGGTATTCAAGATGCAACTTTTGATAATCATAATCATCTATATATATTAAGTAGTAATATATGTTTGTGCATATGTCCAATCATACCTCATGAACCCCTGAACCGATTTACCTCAAATTTTTATTGGGAACTTGGGAGACCCACGGAAATGTTTTTGCTTGGTTTGAGATTTTAAGTTCGTTAAGTGGACCGACTTTAGAAGGGAAAAATCGCCAAACTCGTAATTTAAGACAAGGTTTTGGTAAACGGTGGAAATAAGAATGAGTACGCTTGGTTCCCAAGGTAGTGTTCAGATAACATTTAAATAATCGATCTCTTTATTCTCTAATTTTTTATTGTCATTGATTTCTAATGCAATACCACAATAATTTAAATAATCTAAGAAAATAATAACTAAAAAGGCTTATAAGCATCTCGGGCATTTCGGTCAAATGACATGTCAAATATTTCAGAGGCCACAAACGACTTTAACTAGCTAGGGAACCCAGCCTTGCCCAGGTTACTCATAGTTTTTCCTGCCGTTTACCCGCACTTGGAGGTGAATTACGAGTTTAGCCATTATGGATAAAATCGAGCCACTCAACTTAGAATCTCAAAACTGCAAGATAATAACATTTCCATGACACCTCCTAATTCCGCAATCAAAATTTGAAGGAAATCGGTCCAGGGGTTCCTGGGTTATGATCGGTCAAACAAACAGACAGACAAACAGAGATTACAACAGTATATATAGATACTAGTTTGGTAACCCAGCGTTGCCCAGGTTGCTAATAGTTAATCCCGCCGATTATCCGCACTTGGTCGTAAATTACGATTTTTGGCTATTTTTCCCGACAAAAGTCGACACACTCAATTTAGAATCTCATATCCAAGCTAAGAACATTCCCGTGGCTCTCCCGAGTTACTCAATCAAAATTTGACGCAAATCGGTCCAGGAGTTTCTGAGTCATGATCAGACAAACCCTGCAAACATTAAGTCTCCAACAAACTGTCGAACATATAAAGTCCCGAATTAATAATTATGTACTCGACATCTTCGCCATCGGCAAGTATAGTCGGTTAAAATGTTTCCTGGGAAACAAACAGACAGACAGACAGACATCCAGAGATTACAATTTTATAAAAATATGTAAATAGATGCAGAATAATAAAAATTACATTAGGTTCAAAGTGCAACAATAAATAGTTTTTTAAAATATGAATGAATGTTTATTTATACTTAAATAAGCATGATACAGATTTTTTAAACAACTGCATAGATTACATCTATGTTTCCTTTGATTCTTATTTCGTTATTATTTTTTTGATATTACACAAAAAAATATGTTCATACTACATTGACAATAACCAAATAGCTGAGATTATAATACTTTAAAAAATCGAAACCTCGTTTAGTTACCTGGACATACAGAACATACACGGTGGTCCTATGTCCTCTATCTATGTTTTCGAATGTTCCTAGACACCTGCCCAATGTTCCTAAATTGGTAATTGTCATTTTTTTTCTTCCAAAAATGTTTTGTGTAGAGATTTTTTGGGGTCGTTTTTTGCCTACATTTTCTTTCAGGGTCAAATTTGATCCACGGTAAAAGAAAATGATTCGTTTTCTTGATTGTTTATTCCAAAAATATATTTTACTTTGTCAAATTTTTTATGTGAAAAAGACCCAAAAGCGTCCTAAACTTGTTGCAAAGCCAAACATGTTTAAAAAATAGTTTTTCCATTTTTTTCCGATATATATTGCAAAGTTTAATAAAAGCAAGCAATTGAAAGTTTAAATTTTTTTAAACGATTCACATGTCTTAGGCTGCTAAAAAGTAAATCCTAGGTTAGTAGGATACATAGATGTGTTGGTGTGGATGTGTTACCAATAGCCGACAAAACAGGAACATTTAGAGAAATGTTACTATACCCCACCCCCCTACACCAGGGTTTAGTTTTTAACCAAGCAGGTCGTTTTCTGCGGAGTAATTCACGACATGCTAAACGCCCAGGGCAATTTAAAGGTCACTTCAGCTAAACAAATATTGTCGTCTTTTCTTTTTAAAGAATATGCTGAAATTGTTTTAATTTGTTCTTACTAAATCAAAAAATCACTGTTAAAGGGAGTGTTCGTGAAAAATGAAAGGGGGTATAGGCTTAATGCGATAAAAAAGCACTTTTGATTGCTACTAATCTTACTTCTATCTGTTGCGTCACTAAGGAGAAAATTGTTAAACATTAATAGTTGAGATTTCAAAATATTTTGTATTTTTCATGATCTGAGAGTGACTTTTGAAAACATTTATTCCTATTTCGAGGATTTTTGATAATGAAGACGACATTTTCATATTTTCCAGGAATGTTCTAAAATCCAACGCCAGCGAAAATTATTGAAGAAAAAAAAATCAAAAATATTATGAAATTTTAACTATAAAGAATGCGTCGAAAAATAATCTACAACTTGACATTGTATTCCATTTGTTTACAAAACAACTTGGTGAAATTCTGCCCCGTATCTCAATCAATCAACATTTGGGATCGCGTTGAATGGAATTATATGGAAGAGGCCCGGGGCACATTTCAAAGATTTAACTTGGAAGGTACTATCTGGGTACTTTGAAGGAAGGTATTAGGTAGGAATGTATTAGGTAGGAAGATATTAGGTAGGAAGGTACTAGGTAGGAAGGTACTAGGTAGGAAGGTATTAGGTATGAAGGTACTAGGTTGGAAGGTACTTTGTAGGAAGGTACTAGGTGGGTGCTAGTAGGAAGTTACTAGGTGGGTACTAGAAGGAAGGTACTAGGTAAGAAGGTATTAGTTAAAAGAAGGTACTAGATAAGAAGATTCTAGATAAGAAGGTACAAGGTAGGTAGGTACCTATTACTCCTGCCTCCTCCCTTGCTTCCCGTATGGCAGATAGAGAATGATTACTAAGTTCCTCTGGTTCTATCTTTCCTCCAGGTATAATCCATCCTAGACAAACAAACAAACAAATAAATAATTAAATGATTTTTGGCGATTTGATAAAAAAATAAATTAAAAATGAGATCTCACTGAGTATAGGGCTTTCTTAATTTGGTCAAAACCTAGAATATTTGAGTCAGAAGAATTGAAAAGGAAAAACATACTTGCCAATTAACATTTTTTCCCCAAAGCAGGGTTTATATTTTCTCGAAAACTTATCCACCCCCCCTTTTTAAAAACTATTTTTCCCCAGAACTTTCATAATTCTATGTTTGTGTGAAGCGTCAAAAAAATTGTTCAGTTTTTTGTTCGCTGATAAAGGAAAAAATAAATGATTTAAAGGGGAAAATTCGTTTCGTTAACGATAAATGATTCAAAGAGGAAAAACGAAGAACTTAACAAAAACTGTAGTTTTTGAAAAAAACGATCGTTTTTAAAAAATTGCATGCAACTTCATCGAATAAAGCTAAAAAACTCCTTGCAATTTTCTATAAAACTGCTCAATGATAAGTAACGATGCCCTTCAGAACGGTTTCCTCTCTCATCCTCTCTTCATTAACGATCGTGAACGAAACGACGAGCTTTTTAAAAATCGTTACGTTTTCGTTTTTTGTCGTTGTTTTCATTTTTATTCTTTTAAACAATAAAAATTTTAATGAGCTAGAAGGATGCGCTAGATACGGGTTATTTTAGGACAGGGTGAATCCGGATTGGTATGGATTCTTAGAAACTATAAAACTGGGGAGTAGAACTTGACATGTTAGAAAATACCGTTAACTGAGTTCTTAGCTAAGAACGAACGGATATATGAGAAATTTTAAACTATTTTTACTAACGGTTAAAAAACGTGGCTAACCCCTAAATCTAGACCTTATCTAATACCTGGCACTCTGCGCCTGCTCACCAATAAAACCTCTTCCTCTGCTGGGGATCTAAAACATGTTATTATTTTAACCTTCTTCTTGTGAAAATGTCAATATTTCATACAAAGCTTAGGAACCGGATCAGTTGGATCTAGATTAGCAAAATTTGGAAATTCACGGATCCGTTTCCAATACCTAAATCTGAACTATAATTAAATGAGAGATTATCAAAATATTGCTTATCTCTAAATGGTTTATCTGCTGGCGATCTTAAAAATATTTTATGATTTCAATCTTTTTCTTGTTGTGTCAATATCTCCTACCAGACTGGAATATAATCGGATAATCCCGGAAACGACAAATTATTTTCTCACCCATTTAAATATTAATTAGAACTGGCCAGTGGCCAAACGACTGAACTAAATTGGGTGACATTTTTTTGAGGGAACCCATGAGTAGCCCGGGGGTAACTTTGGCTGAAAATAGTTTTTTCTTCTTCAAAATTTGAAGTTTTTTTTTCAATTGTTTTCAAATTAATCGTTCAGCTGGTATTTATTATTTATTGTATCTGAACATGCAAAGCAAGAAAAACAATTGTTGAACCCAATTTTTTTTATGTTTATATTTCATGCAGTTGTAAGCTTCAACTTATAAATGATTAGTTTCTGTGTCTATAAAAAATTAAATACGTGTTTAACGAGACCGTGACGTTGTTTAATTTGACACGCCTGATTCACAACAGTACTTTAAAATCTATAATAACTGTCAACAATAAGAAAGAATTGTTTAATTAAACCTTTTGTCAAGTAAATTAGTTTCAAAAAAAGGTAAAATTGGACCAAAGTTATTAAAAATCGGAAAAAAAATGAAAAAGAAAGGAACGAACTTACATTTTCTGAGCATTTCCAGAAAAATGTTGTTTTCTAAATTTTTTGTTTGCCAAATGTTCGATCAAATCATTAAAATTGGACAGAAAAGAGAAAACTCTGATCATCTCTAGATAAATGTCCAAATCTGTTTACTAATTCTTACCTAACACAAACACACGCTGCTCGTAATCTAAACCCATCAGAATCATTCAAAGATGCAGACTTTACTTTTACCTGAACAATCAATCAATCAATGATCAGTCAGTTAATTAATCAGTCAGTTAATTAATCAATCAGTCAGTTCATTAATCAATCAGTAAGTTAATTAATTAATCAGTCAGTTAATTAATCAGTCAGTTAACTAATCATTCAGTCAGTTAATTAATCAATCAGTCAGTTAATTAATCAATCAGTCAGTTAATTAATCAATCAGTTAGTTAATTAATCAATCAGTCAGATAACTAATCATTCAGCCAGTTAATTAATTGATCAGTCAGTTAATTAATTAATCAGTCAGTTAATTAAGTAATCAGTCAGTTAATCAATTAGTCAGTTAATTAACCAATCAATCAGTTTATCAACCAAAACCAATCAGTTAATTTATTAATCAATCAGGCAGTATACCATTCAATCAGTCAGTTAATTAATAAATAAGTCAGTTAATTATTCAATCTCTTAGTTCATTAATCAATCAGTCAATTAATTAATCAATCAGTCAGTTTATCACTCAATCGGTCAGTTAATCAATCAATCATTCAGTTAATTAATCAGTAAGTCAGTTAATTATTCAATCACTCAGATTATCAATCAGTCAGTCATTTTATTGATCAGTCAGTTTATAATCAATCAGTCAGTCAGTAATCAGTCAGTTTATCACTCAATCAGTCAGTCAGTTCATTAATCAATCAGTCAGTCAGTAATCGGTCAGTTTATCACTCAATCAGTCAGTCAGTTCAGTAATCAATCAGTCAGTCATTAATCAGTCAGTTTATCACTCAATCAGTCAGTAAGTTCATTAATCAATCAGTCAGTCTTCAGTCAGTTTATCACTCAATCAGTCAGTCAGTTCTTTAATCAATCAGTCAGTTAATTAATCATTCATCAGTCAGTTTATCACTCAATCAATCAGTCAGTTCATTAATCAATCAGTCAGTTAATTAATCATTCATCAGTCAGTTTATCAAACAATCAAATAAATGTCTGGAATTAATATTTATCCAACATTTGTTCAAGAAAAAAATGAAAGTCTAAATTTTTTTCTTAAAACACGTTTTTTAGAATTTTTTGTATTATTATACTTGAAACACTTCAAAGGAAAAATAATAAATGGGGGTAAATATTTTGTTGAAAATCATTCCAGTAGCTTCATTCTTCACACATAATTTTTCCCCCAACATAATAGAATATCTCAGGTTAACTTTAAGGGATTCTTAGGCGCCAAAACCTGTAAGGATTATTCAAGGGGGGGGGGGAGATTTCTACAAAATATATACCCCTAACATTATAACATACGTAGTTTTCATTAAACTGCGCAATGTTGAGTTCCCTTCGTGGGTCAGGTAGAGGGTTAGAAGCCCATACTTGTAGGTTTCCAGCCTCGTAGCTCATTCTAAATATATACCCTTGCAGCTCATTCTAAATATACACACTTGCAGCTCATTCTAAATATATACCCTTGCAGCTCATACTAGATATACAGTTTTGAAGCTCATTCTACAAATACATCCTTAAAGCTCATTCTATATCTATCTATACCATATTAAGCTTGCAGCTAATTCTAAATATATTTTAGATGTATACCTATTATACCAGACAGTATTATCATACAAGTTTTGGCATATTAATACAAAAATCTTCAACTAGACTACGTTTCAAGCATGATGTGAGAGAAATACGTAAATGAAGGCTACAGCTTTTTTTCAAATCAAATTACCCAGCACAACATATATTTTATTTCACATGCGTGTCTTTCAATTTCTCTTTGTGTTCCTCACAGGCAAAATATCAACAAAAAACTGGGAACAAAAATCTTTTTATCCCAAAACCCAAATCTGAACTATTAAAAAAAGAGAGATTTTCAAAATTTCCTCATTTCCTTCAAGTTTAAGCATAAAAACACGAAAAAAAAATTCAGTTCTTATACTGTTAAAAAATCAGTACATTTTTAAAGAAATATTTATGACCTGGATCTGAATCAGGATTTGAATCCGAATAAAAATTTAATGGATTCTAAGCAATGGTTCTTCATACTAGTTGGTAAAATATATCGAGATTTTTGGACGCACAATTCAGGTTGCTTGAATTGGCATTCATTGAGGAAGCACTAATTAGAACACCCTTTTGAGGAGGTACAGTCGTTGACGTATTTATCAATACAATGTAGAACAATTTCTATTTTAATGTTGATTTCTTCCAAGCTTATAAACGACAAAGACAAATAAACATGTAACAAAAATAATTGTCTAACACATTTTCTTTGTTTACAAGTAAACTTGCAATTTGTAAAAATGCTTGTCAGGGATCAAGAAATTATTAGTAAAAAGTCGTCTTTATTGTATTGATATAAATGCCGACCACTGTACATACATACATCAGAAGTAAATAATGGATCTAGTAACTTACCTAAATATTGTAAAATGAAAAAGTTGAAGAAAAATAATAATGTTGAGTGAAGGGGTTCTCTAGGTGGTCACATCAACAGTAGAGCGTGGAAAATATTAATGTCCCTGTTGAATAAATAAATATAAATATTAAAGAAACTACGGAGTCTCATATACCAAAATCCACCCNCCTGATCTGGAAAATTAGCTGATGTAACTATTGTTATTATTTAATTATTTTATCTCAATTTTTCTCAATGTGAGCTTATGCTGATAATTTTATCTATAAAATAAAACAAGACATCCGCATATGTATATAATATGTTGTCTATAGCCGGCCGAACGACTGGGCCGATTTTGATGAAATTTTTTGTGGACACTCATGGGTTGCCGGGCGGTGTTAAAGGCTTAAAAAATTTGAAAATTTTTTTTCAAAATTTTTTCACGGGCAACGCCCTTCAGCTAGTTTTACTTAAACGTCCTTTTCTGTTTTTCGCTTTTTACCGAATTTAACAAGTTAAACATTTTTAAAATTTTTATCATCAACCAAATATAAGTTTTCTGATATATAAATAAATTTTACTCTATGCGAAACCCTATGATTTGTTTAGTTAGTTTTTCGTTGTATCGCTTACAACCAATAAAGATTCATAAAATAACTATTTTATCTCAATAATCTGCCCCTCCTCCTCCTCCCTGGATATTAATAAAATATCATTCTCGGTTTATAATTGTGCCCTCTAACTCTATATATCCCATTTATTCTACAATGTAAAATTGATAAGTTTCTTTTTCTAGATTGAATCTTTTATTTCTGACAATTTAATCCATTCTTTCTTCAGCATAATGCAAATTTATTTTAAATGAAAATGTATTTTCAATCTTTAGATAGAAAAATATGGCTATCTCATTCCATTTCAGAGAAATTCCGCATAATACCTTGAAGAGAATTTATGTTTACAATCTCTTAAAGAGAAATTACTTCAACAATCCCTTAAGGAAAAATTCCGCCTGTAATTTCCGTCTATAATCCCTAAAAGAGAAATTACGTCTGCAATTTTTTTTAATCCGTTTGTATTCAGCTAGATTCTGTAGATATCTATATATTTCCTGTGAGACGAAATAATTGTGGATCTACTCTTCGCTTTGTTCATTGTGTTGATAGCAAGAGGATTGGAATACTCTGAAAATAAAAATCATATTAAATAAAGTTAACCCTTTTTAAGTGGACATAAGTACAAGAATATTTCCAATAACGATTTGAGATGGTTTCTGTTTTAAGTGTGAATTAAAAAAATGACATTCCCGATTTTTAACTGAAGGATCAAAAGCACAAACAAATAAAAATCGAAATATAAGTAACCTTGTTGATTCGTAAAGTCTAGTGACGTTTCAAACTACATTACACTCCCTTTATTAAATTAGATCAAAACGAACAAAACGAATACGTTCTAGAAATTATTTTCACATGTGAAATAGACTAGTATTTAATTATGAAAATAATTTATAAACAATTACTGTAATTCATTTCGTGATTTGCTTTAATTTGATCATTTCCAAGCGCGGGGTAAAGAGTATATTTTTTCCAAAAATCATTCTCTAGGACAGACCCTGATTTTCTTTTTTTTTCTCAATAAATGCAAATCTTTTTTATCTTGTAAATTACTAAAATTTTAAAAGAAAACGATATTTTACTATAGCTCTTATTTCTTTCTTGACCACAGACAACTCAAAGTCAGTAAACGTGAGTAGTAATATCATAATTGTAAAATTTGAGCTAAAAACTAAATTACAAAAATGTCTATGAACCATACTAAACATCAAATTTAGGGGAAATCGAATTTTCATTGTAATTTTAAGTTCAAGCTGAACATACTAATGTCGTTGAAAAATTAGAAAATATTCATCATAACATAAATTTCCTGTGCCCTAACCCTCCTCAAATTTATTTTATTTTATTTATTTATAGAGTAACACCCCTTAGGAAAATCCTGGCTACGGGCCTGCACGGCCATATCTAACTATTGGCTAGAATAATGAAAATAAAAATAGCAGTTATTTTAAATCGGGTAATTTCCTAATATCCAATTTTTAGATCCCCCCCCCCCCGCCTATCAATTTTGTACATGGATTTTAATTAGAAGAATTATGGCTATAATTGACCGTGTGGCCGCAGCGCTCGGCCCCCTAGCCTGTCCTAGCCGTGGCGCACGGCCCCCTAGCCTGTACTTGCCGCAGCGCTCGCCCCCTAGCCTGTCCTAGGCGCAGCGCTCGCCCCAGAAAGTGTATTCGCCTTACCTAACCCTAAATATATACTAATCTTTTATGTAAGACGTGGATATAATTGACCATGTGGCCACAGCACTCGGCCCCATAGCCTGTCCTAGCCGCATCGCACGGCCCAGAAAGTGTCCTAACCTAACCTAACCCTAAATATATACTAATTTTGTTGAAAATTGTTGAAAAAGTGGTCGTGTACAAAAATTATAAAGAGGGAGGAAGGGGGTGGGTTCCCAAAAACGTAGGACGGACCCTTAAATCGACTATAACCGTGTTCAATTTTGACAAAAACTTGTTACCCACCCGTTTATACTATATTATCTGTAAACACCAATTGAATTCCCATGTTTTTTGGGACACCCTGTATCATGATAAAAGTATATAGGTCAAATAATCATCACAAAATATGTTTACATGATCAAAAAATTTTTCACATATGAACATAAAAATAATTCAAATGACCAAAAAAATAATTCAAATTAACCGAAACATATCTTCAAACGGCCAAAAAATAGTTGCTTTGTCAATATATAATTTAACTCTGTCAGCTTCAAAAATAATAAATAAAAAAGCTATAAATTGCAAATTTTTCTTTTGATACAAATTTTGTCAACAAAGACAATCTATGACTTAAGTCACATTAATTTTTAATTATTATTGGGACACCCATACATTTTTAAGACTCTTCGACCACATTTTTGAAAGCTAACAAGCACGCTTCTGCAATTACATTACATGCAGTCGCGAGTAATATACTTTCAAGTCGTCTCTTAATTTCCATGTTACACCCTGATAGACCTTATTTTTGTGTGCCTGCAATTATAACTCATGAACCTCTTGATTGATTTGCCTGAAATTTTGATTGTCCGGAACTGGTTTTTTAGTTTGGTATAAAGTTCCTAAAGATAGTTTGTAAAAAAAAGATTATTTTCAAGTCTCTAAACTGAAGTCGCATGTGTAATCGAACATATCCTGCAATTGAGCGTAGTTCCGTTGATATGGTTGTTGTTCTAATATATTTACTGTATATGTTTCAAGGAGTTTAAAATAAATAGAAGAAAACTGGTTAACACGGAGCTTGCATGCAGGCTGCAGCATACACAATATAAATAGTATAAAACATATATACAATATACAAACAATTCATATATCAACATACACTTAATATAATATTTTTATTATAAATATTTGAAATTATAAAGATAAATAAATGATACTGATAATAACAAAAAAAATTAATATGTTGAAATAAAATAAAACTTCACACTTTAGCGAGGGGGGGAGTCCGAGTTCCTCAAAGAGTAGTCACCGCCACCCAAATGTGTTTTGCGGCAAGTGCGCTCCTCAATTAGTAATCTCCACCACCTCAATTGGTAATCACCGCAAAATTTTGTTTTCTGAGATTTTAATTTAATGCACTTTTAACACAATTTTCGACATCTATCGGGGTTTCATGGCATCTGTATTGACTTAAGCTAAATTTTCGAATTGTTTTCAGATTTGTTTGGTCTACAAAAACTGAGAATCAAGGCACAGTTCATTTTAGCCGAATCTTAGATCCAATTTGCTCATTTAATGACTGCATTTCATGATTGGCATTAAGATACTAAATGGTCGGGCTGCCTGTTTACTAAAAATTATCTCGTCCCACGAAAGTAATATCTATCTCCATTTAAGATATTTTGAAGAAAACCTTAACAATGTTCAGATTTTTGTATTTGCCTACTCAAGTTCAACATCTACAACAAAACTAATTATATGCATAGAAAGAACATAAAATTTTTAAAAATTAGTCTCATACCACCCCCTACTGAAAATGAAGTATTAAGTCAACTAATAATAGGTTAAGTTTCCTCTCTTTATAAGGAGTTTTAAACAATAACATTCAGAGGAAAATGCCGCAAACATATTTAAAGCGAAACTTGAAACTAAAATAACGTAATATATTTCTAGCGCTTAGTGTGGCATATTTTATTGTGAAGAGAGGGTTCTGTGGTTTATTTATTACAGAGAATGTTCAACTAAACAGTAATCAATGTTCTAATTCAGGTTCATCAGCTCTCGGTAGATGTTGTCCGAGATCTAGAGTGGGAGAGTGGGAGAGGTCAGATGGGTTGACCTTCTCCTTCCAGTGCTTGTCGTAGAGTGTCAAGATCTGGGTTTTTTCTCATCATCAAGAATTAGATAATACAAGTTACGAAGCATGAACAATATTCTTTACAAAATTATGAAATATTAAACATCAATTATGTACAAAATAAAACGAGCACTCACTATTTAACTTCCTTTTCTTTTTATTGGGAACTTGGGAGACCCACGGAAATGTTTTTGCTTGGTTTGAGATTTTAAGTTCGTTAAGTGGACCGACTTTAGAAGGGAAAAATCGCCAAACTCGTAATTTAAGACAAGGTTTTGGTAAACGGTGGAAATAAGAATGAGTACGCTTGGTTCCCAAGGTAGTGTTCAGATAACATTTAAATAATCGATCTCTTTATTCTCTAATTTTTTATTGTCATTGATTTCTAATGCAATACCACAATAATTTAAATAATCTAAGAAAATAATAACTAAAAAGGCTTATAAGCATCTCGGGCATTTCGGTCAAATGACATGTCAAATATTTCAGAGGCCACAAACGACTTTAACTAGCTAGGGAACCCAGCCTTGCCCAGGTTACTCATAGTTTTTCCTGCCGTTTACCCGCACTTGGAGGTGAATTACGAGTTTAGCCATTATGGATAAAATCGAGCCACTCAACTTAGAATCTCAAAACTGCAAGATAATAACATTTCCATGACACCTCCTAATTCCGCAATCAAAATTTGAAGGAAATCGGTCCAGGGGTTCCTGGGTTATGATCGGTCAAACAAACAGACAGACAAACAGAGATTACAACAGTATATATAGATACTAGTTTGGTAACCCAGCGTTGCCCAGGTTGCTAATAGTTAATCCCGCCGATTATCCGCACTTGGTCGTAAATTACGATTTTTGGCTATTTTTCCCGACAAAAGTCGACACACTCAATTTAGAATCTCATATCCAAGCTAAGAACATTCCCGTGGCTCTCCCGAGTTACTCAATCAAAATTTGACGCAAATCGGTCCAGGAGTTTCTGAGTCATGATCAGACAAACCCTGCAAACATTAAGTCTCCAACAAACTGTCGAACATATAAAGTCCCGAATTAATAATTATGTACTCGACATCTTCGCCATCGGCAAGTATAGTCGGTTAAAATGTTTCCTGGGAAACAAACAGACAGACAGACAGACATCCAGAGATTACAATTTTATAAAAATATGTAAATAGATGCAGAATAATAAAAATTACATTAGGTTCAAAGTGCAACAATAAATAGTTTTTTAAAATATGAATGAATGTTTATTTATACTTAAATAAGCATGATACAGATTTTTTAAACAACTGCATAGATTACATCTATGTTTCCTTTGATTCTTATTTCGTTATTATTTTTTTGATATTACACAAAAAAATATGTTCATACTACATTGACAATAACCAAATAGCTGAGATTATAATACTTTAAAAAATCGAAACCTCGTTTAGTTACCTGGACATACAGTTACAAAATAAAACGAGCACTCACTATTTAACTTCCTTTTCTTATTTACTAGTTAGAATTACATAATGTAAAGTATATTTAAACTAATGGTTCTTTGTAAAGGGGGGAAGTGGTACAAGAAAGGGAGGGGGAGGGTTTTTAACCGTCATTTCTTTGTTGGTATTTTGTCCAGACATCAGGGATGGGATTATCTCTGATTAGGGAGAAGAGAGGATTCAGATTCTATAATTGTTAGGTGCAAAAGATTAAATCTATGGGAAAGAACAATAATTCCATCAGATAACTGCTTTTAACGTTGAAATTGTCTGAAATCAAGGATTCAGGAAAACAGGGATTCACTACAATTTATAGATTTATCTTCGAAACTAAGGAGAAATAAAGAAAGCTTTAACAATATTGTACATTATAAAGCCATTAACAGAGGTCGATATGGTCTTATTTATAAGATGAAATAACCGATTAAATGTTACACTCATATTGGCTGATTACCTATTGAGGTGGTGGATATTACCAATTGAGGAGCGCGCTTGCCGCAAAACACATTTGGGTGGCGGTGATTACTCGTTGAGGAATTCTGGACTCCCCCCCTCCTTTAGCACAGGACTTTATTCAGTAAATTTTAACATCGTTGTAGAAAAGTAAAGCCTGCCGAAAAAATACAATTAATTACATAATATTGATTAAACAAACTTAAATACAATTAGGTCTTTGTTTAGAAATTTCAGAAAAGAACTTTGTATAAATACAAACATAATTGAATATGAAAAAGTTTGTCACGGGCAGCCGTTGTACATTTGAATTTCCGAGCCGGGTCAACCTTTCCGGTCCCAGTTTGTGCTGTACCGCACAGACATTGGTTTAATAAAGCAGACAATCAACAGGACTAGCCGGTGCAACAAGGTTGACGCGGCCAGACTTTATGCTTCATTTATGTTGAATTTACTTTTACTAAAGGGGCAGAGGCGTGTGTTGTCTAAACTGCATTGATACAACTATAATGACAGTGAAGGAAAGGAATTTTTATTTTATTCCTTATAAAGTTGCATTTCCTTCTTAAAGCAATTCAAAATAGGAAAGAATTTCAATCAAAATAATAAACTTATTTACATTCGCCGAAAAAAGCAATAAAAGCTGAGGATCCTGGACATTTAGTCCATGTGAATGGTGGTTTACATAATTTTGAAAATATTGATTTTTTAATGTTCAATATTCACAATATAAAAATTTAAGAGTATTTAATAACGCAAACTTGTTAACTAATTAGTGTGCAGATCTATATCTTATATAATAATGAGCTAATGGTCTCCTGTTCTGTGGCCGTCTTGATGTTTGGCCTCACTCCCGCCATTGCAGTTGTCATCATCAACAGGATCATATTGGACTGGGGTAGGCGGAGAGTCTGCAAGTGAGCTTCGTCTTCGATTCATTAAAATCAACCATTATTTGTTCTTTATTTATGATGTAAATACATTTTTTTCTATACTATACTGTGGACTTATTTAAATCAGTTTTCGGCTTTATATTTCCCTTAACTTCGATCACTTTCAAGTAGTAATAAAATATTCATTTTGTCCATTCTCACCATGATACACAACACAAATGAATTTTAAGAGAAGTATTGGGACCAAAAACCAGTCACCCCCCCCCCCATGACCCCCTAATATATTCCACTGTGGGGGGCCTCTACAGAAAATGAAAACTCGCCAAAACATCTGTAGCTTTATTCTTAAATTTGAGCAATTTCATGGTATAAATCTAAACAGTTTCCTTTTCAAACATTTTTAATTTGTTATAATCAAAAACTGTACACTTCCCAAGAGGCATAAAATTTTGAGGTGAATACTCATTCCGTACAAGGGGGGGGGGAGGGGGTCTTTACAGAAAATGATAACTCACCACAAAATATTTAAAGGGTACTGATTTTTTTTAAATAAATGGGTCATAATTATTATTATTTTTATTATAATTATTATTAATAATATTATCATTATTATTATTATTATTATTTTTAATATTGTGGAAGATGATGCCTGGCCGCGTTAAACAAGTTACACAAGATTCAACAGAATGAGATAGAACAGATACGGGGCATAGTACTGATAAACATCTACACGTGTGATATCAATATTGACTCTAGTTCTGAACCCTCTAGTAATAAGTTATAAGAAATATATATACTAGAAGTTATTTATGCATTTTTATTGGAGTCTGACTCACGTCCTCAATATTGGTGACCCCCGATTTTGAACATACAGTTAAACGCTATCCAGTTCGTGATTTTCTTAAACTTTGAACATTAAGTGATACATCCAAGCATCATGACGGACCAGAAAGAAACTCCAACCAAGTACATCGCCAAAGTCTCCGTCAAGCTCCCGGATTTTTGGACAGAGGACTCTGACCTGTGGTTTCTTCATGAGAGGCTGCCTTCAGAAACGCTCAAATCACACATTTGAAAACCAAATTCGACCACATCATCCAGAAGCTTCCCCAGAAGATTATGGTCTCGGTACGCGGCCTGATCATGGGTTCTGCTGCCTCCTCAGAAACCCCTTACGAGGTTTTAAAGGCCAAGCTTGTCTCCTCGTATACTTTATCACGCTGGCAAAAGGTTTCCAAACTAATTCATCACCCTGGGCTGGGAGACCGCCGCCCTACTGCTCTCATGGACGCCATGTTGGCCCTTCTCCCAGAGGACGAGAAACCAGGTTGCCTGTTCCAAGGTTTATTTCTGGAAAGGTTACCCGTCGAGATGAGGGACCATCTGGTCTCCAGGGACTTCAAAAACCCTAGTGAAATGGCGTTATATGCTGACAGTTTGTGGGACGCCAGGAAAGCTATACCTACTGACCACCTCCTAGCCGCAGCATCGACCTCATCATCTTCCCCATCACGTGGTAGAGCTCAGGACCGTAGAAGCCCATCGCCAAACCGCCGTAGTCAAACCCCAGGTCCATCAAACTCATGGTGTTATTTCCACAAAAGTTTTGGTCCTGCAGCCAACAATTGTCGCCCTCCTTGCAGTTTCCAGGGAAACGCCAGAGCCGACGGGAGGAAGAAAAATTAAACAGCCTTCCCGTCGGCGGTTATCTCGTGTACCTTCAAGATGCCCTGTCAAACCGTGATTATTTAGTTGACACTGGAGCGTCAAGATCTGTGTTTCCTCATCGTTCCTCAGCTGCACC